TTATTATGACTCCTACCTGTATTTGTCTACCTGCACATCCATTCAATCAATCTTCCCGTCACTGCATCCATCCTCTTAAAATAAAATGTTGCCGCTTGAGTGACTCTGCGTAGTTAATGCAAAGAGTAGGAAAGGGAAGAACTGACATGTCAGCCAAACAAGCTTCCTGCATTAGAAGTTTTCTACCTATTTATTTATTTACATGAGAAATAGGTTTTAAGTAGACCAGCAGGGTTTCTAGTCTGGAGCAGTGATGTGAAATTCAGTCGGTTCAGAGCTAAATAGGTCAGAGCATGGAATAGAAATTCCTCTTGCTAATGCACCTATTCATCTTATTCAATTTAATGTACCCGTGTCTACTTTTTTACAAGATTCACCAGAGTGCAAGGGCTCGCAATATAGCATCTCGCTTGATTTAAATTATTAGCATTTGAAAAAAAGATAATTTCCCATTACACCCGAAGCATCACGCTTAAACACGGTCTCGTTTTAATACCGTGTCGGTGACACTTGTGTTGTCTCATCTTGAACGATCATAAAGAAACAACACGTGGAAAACAACGTTGGCGACTCTGTGCTGCCGAATGTATTTACTGTTGAACGACAAACAACATTTCAGCACCATCATTCACGACCCATTGCCCTGCAAGTGTCTCGTGCAAATTTGACATCGGCGCCAATCCACCGACACGATTGCAGTTATCGTTGCATCCGAACCGCTATTGAAAATATACGTTCGTGAGTGATGTGTACGTGCGCCCGGGATGTTACGCATGCATGTTCAGCACAAGGCTGCATGCTTCACCGTGCGCTCGAACATGGGACATCTCGTATGTTATTCTAAGTGCAGACAGCTAGCTCTCTCATGGGGTGTTTTACTGCGGTGCACTTTCTGCCCATCAGTCCATTCTGTGTTCAGTTCCCGAACTGCATTTGCAGAAAGAGTGTACGGTAAGCAAGATGTACGTCTCTACGCAAGATAGCGAAACTCGACATGTTCCTCAATAACACTGTGGCCCGAAAAATAAACTTGCACATGATAGGCAACGTTTTGGGGGAATGATCCTTCTTCATAGTAAACATCTTGAGAGATAGGCTACCAATCACTGCATTCTCTAATGGCGTATGGTACAAAGTACAGCTCAGGAACGTGGTCATTAAACCAGAAATTGGAACAAAAAATGGAAGGTGCACAAGGGAAGTATGGAAGAATGCACGCTCGGAAGTGCATTGAGAGACAGGAAGAGGACCACACGGTTTAGAGAACATACACAGGTTTCATCTTCTTGGTTCTTTCGGTAAAGTCACGTAGAAGGGAAATAATAAAAATAAAACAATAAAATTCTCACAGGTTTAAGACGTCATACCAAACTGTTCAGGAAAGTAGAACAAAACAATGGCCAATGGTCAAAAATAGTGAAGGAGCAGGCAGCCAAGGAATAAAAGAAGACGCCCACTGAGGAGAAGGAGTGATGAAAACGGCTCATGCATGTGTGCCGCCGGGGTGAGTTGTAACATCGTAGGATTGTGGGAGATGGCAGTGGCTTCTGGAGGTGAGGGGTGAAAGCGGGGGGGCTTCATCCAGCAGTGGATTTCCTCCTTAGCTGGAGATGAATCTCCCAAGTGTGCGGTTGTATGCATGTATGTTGAACTTCTTTTTACGTAGCCAACCGTGCTCATCGGAGGTGCACGGGAAGGACAACAAGCTAAACGCGATTAGCAGTTCTAAATAAATGAGATCTCAATCTAGATTTAAAAGTGCACGGCTCTAGTGGCTTCTGTGCATGGACTGCAGCCACGCAGTAGCTGCACGTGGCTGCAGGCCATGCATGGTGCATGGTTGGTTCCTGCCGAGTGGAGATCGCAGCGGTGACCCAGTAATTCTAGATCGCCCCCCACCACGTGCGCGTGTGTGTGAAACAATTTCACACCATTCGTGTACAAAACGAGTTGTCCTCAGTGACCGAATATACATTCTAAGACTAACGGTAATCATTGCTTTTGAACAGCAGCGTAATGTTATTGCAGGGATCGTGTTCACCGTTGATTTATGCATTGCTGTGTTATCAATGAAAGGACCAGAGTCACTCCTAGAAGTGTTTTAATTCATAAATTATAAGAATGTTTTTTTTGTTGTTGTAACAACGGTACGTGATCAATGTAGCATTTTTACTTGGGACTTTATTGGCTAGCAATCTTCCATTATTTATTTCCATTTAATCTTCTACACAACATGAGTATTTGCTTTCTTTTATGATGTATTATCATTCATGTAATCACTTTTCTCTTATCAATGTTAATAGTTTTATGTTTGATATGCATGAACCAAAAATACAATGACATTTCAGTAGCATTTTCAATAACATGTACAAACTGCAAAAATCAGGTTACATTTCAGTGTCATCATGAGTAATAATCATATTACGACAATGTTATTTTGGTTTAACACGTAGTCTTTCGCCAATTTTGTTTGCATTATTGCTCTTGCTACAATAGAGTATTAACGTCCGACATTATCATTGGCTGCTCTGGATGCTATGAAGAAGGGCCATTGCCTGAAACGTCACCTATGTGATATTTTCCTATTAAGACCACACACATTGTTATTGACGAATGGTGTTGAGTTTGTTTTTGGTGGTGTGTGCACCACTGCCACCAAGAGCAGCATCACCAAATGTTTGTTCAACATTATTCTTAGTCGCAGCATTGAGTGCTTACAGAACAGATGTTAGGAAGTTCATGGGATAGACTAAGCAACTTGGAAGTCTGGAATGAAACATGTCAACAAAGCGTTCAAAACATAGTGGGGGAGAGGAGGTTAACACACGTATCCCGTTTCCAAACCGTAACCCTAATCACAGAACTGGAGTGCATTCGCAAAGATTCCATGCCCCACACGGCCATCCCATGACCGTGTTTGTAGACGACTCTTATTTGTCTGGAAAGTTCAGGCAGGAGTCCAAATTCTCCCACACAGTTTCATTTCTCGGGCTCGACCTGAAGGCCACGTGGAAATTCGGGCCGAGCAGATGTATAGAATTCTGGAAAGGAGCTGGCCAACTGTTGAGGTAACGTGAACAACTTGGGGAAATTTATAGAAATTCGTTTTATTACCAACTAGAATTGTCCATCAACTTGAGTTATCCGTAAACCCGAGTTTCTCGGAAAAATCAAGCCAACTTGAGTTGAACCGAGTTGACTGCCCATGGAAATTAGTGAATGGGGTGTGGAATAGGGCATGTCACTGAGAGAGGCGTTGGAGTGGCGAACGGCCAGGAGTGGCGCACACCTGTAGTCCAGCACTGTGGAGGCTGCAAGGGTTGGTGGATCGCACAAATGTTGTGAAATTCCCTTGCCATAGGCTTTGAGTTGTCATACCCTCTCTCGCTAGGAGAACGCGGTGCAGCAAAAATGTGGATTACACCTTCTCTGTATGTATGTTGAACTTCTTTCGCGCCGTACGTAGCCAACTGTGCTAGTTGGAGGTGTGTGGGAAGGACAACAAACAAAACACGTAAAGCGGTTAGAAAGAAATGAGTTTTCAATCTAGACTGAAAAGTGCATAGCTCCAGCGGCGTCCTAATTTCGGAAGTAAGAGCGTTCCAGACGGCCGCAGAAGTGCTTCTGAAAGGTCGTGATGCAGTGACAATCCTTGTTCGATGATCAGCTAAAAGCTCATGCAGAGGATGACTAGAGCGAGTGTCGGATAATGTTTCCCCCCTCGCACACGTGGATTTTCTCCAGGTGCTTCGGTTTCTTCCACACGTAAGCACTCATGAATTGGCTGATAACATTTTAATATATAGAGTACCGAAGAGCCAGGGCATTTGTTGGTACCGTCTCACGGCGTGGCTGCCTTCCCACATGTCTGTGGTTCCTCGTGCCGCCTCAAAGTAATTTTCTCTCTCTTGGAGAGCGAGCGAATGATGTGCAGCGTGTTGCAAGTTGACGTCATTACCCGATGTTTGTGACCAATGGGGAAGACCTAAAGCCAGACGTTGTAGGTCAAATGATAGCTTTGCATCAGCTGTGGAATCTATAAAAAGGAAGGAAGCGATAGCCACGTTATCCGTGGTGACCTCTCGACCTTCACCTGTCAGTACCAACATTGTCCCATCGGTCTCATTGCGGTCTTGCGAGAGTCATTTAAAAATGCGTTATTACGGCGGCGACGACGACGACGTCATCTCCACCTTGCTACAGTCCCTCGAGGCCCACAGTCAAACAAACGCAGGGCGCTGCACCCGCTAGGGACCCACATTAGTCATCAGGTGAGGCTGGTGCAAGGGGAAGGATACCAGATGGCAATTATATTTATTTATATATTTAGCACCAAGCGATGGGTTTTTTTTCGAGAATGTTTTAATTGCTAATTTAAATAAAGGCCAGCCTTATCCATATATTATATTTATGCTATTCACCAGGCTTTTAAAATTATTTTTGTAACTGTATTTTGTCATTTGCATACAAAATTCAGTATCATTTGTCAGTCCCTTGGTAACAGAATTTCAGCTTGGGACACAATCACACAAAATCACGTTTAGCAAAGGCATTTTTGGTCTTACATCTTTAGAAAAAGCATCGGTCTTATCACTGTGGACAGTGAGTTTCCCAAGTCTATCACCATGTACAGCATTTGCAAGGTACATTTTCATCATCACTCTTGTTCTACACATTGGTAATTCAAGGCCTATCCATGTCCTCACTGATAACAATCTATGTGATCTCATCGCAGCGGTCATCCACTCTGACATGAGTGCATATAGACGTGGTTTGCTTCTACCACGATTCGTAAAATCGCCTCCGAGTTGCAGGTGCTAAGGACGCAGCTCAACGACCCAACGCAATGGGCATCTCGTGGAGTTGATGACAGTTGAGTGAAGGGGAGGCTAGGGTCAGCTTGAGTGGCAGTCCGAGTGTAAAGGTGTGCCTCTTTATCGAAATGTCAAACCCGTGTCATTGCATAGAGCTAATTATTCTCGAACATCTTTGTTTTGCAGGGGAAATCCTTGACCTCCAAGAGACTCACCAGCCTGGTGCAGTCGTCCTGATTGAAAACAATGTAGCCGGGAGAGTCGCCGTGCTCCAAACGCCTCCAACACCGTCCAGTCATCTCAAGAAGCACCAGCCTCTCAACACGAGCGGTCGAAGACTGACTTATAAAAACTTTTCACGTATTTATAATCACGGTGTCCGATTTCTGTGAGAATGGTCGGTATAGAAATGTGGACATCGTTGAGCTCTTGGGACCAGGTTTTGCAAGACCAAGTTTTCTGCACTAACGGGGGGGGGGGGGGGGTTAACAGAGCACGTGGAGCCCTTGAAGAGACTGACTCTTAATACGCAAATTCCATTCCACTTAAACGTACCCTGGTCTATACGTCAATGTCAAGCAATTATTTAAAGCCTTTACCAGAAGCTCTCGACTTGATGGTAAACGAGCGGATGTGCAGCATGTACCAGTGAACAGGCACGCCTAAATGTGCCGAATGTTGGAAGATCCATTGTGGAGAGTTTGTCAGATTCAGTTGCTTGATGAATGAGTTCGGCGGCAGTGAGTTTGCAAATGAAAGTCATTTTCTCATTGTCAGCTGTTCGGGTTTCGTATCTGCCGGATGTTGACGAATTCCCAGTCGATATTGGTGGGGTTCAATGCCATAGTCCCGTCTAACAAGTGGGCAGTGGAGAAAACCTGGATTAACAAGCCCTGCTCTGCAATCATTAGGTTTTTATTTTATTTGTATTTTCAAGGTAAAGATACTTTACCGAAAGAACCAAGAATATGAATAGGGATACAAGCGCCCACTACGTACGGTTTAGAGTGACGAATGGCAACAGTCGGCTGTGGTATATTCCAGCGGTCGACTTGGATGCAACACACGTCATCCATTCTTCCCATGTACGCATATAGAGTACATCAGAAGTGACCTCCTTTGCGAAACATTCCGAGACCTCTCCCTGGAAAGGTCACCTCAGAGAGAGTACAGAACCACGTCACGTGATGCAACCACAACGAACGTTCGAGTGTGCGCCATTCGTCTGGGAGGAAACGCGCAGCCCTGACGCTCGGTCAAGGCACCCCCCTCGACGTCTTTGTTTTCGTGTCTGTAACGAGGATGCTGTTGTGCATCATGTCACCGGCCACCCACAGAGCCATTGGCCTGGCAGTCCCCAGGGGCTGGAGACCACAGCCAGCTGGACATCACCTCGCTCTCTTTAAATCTTCAACAGCAGTGTGTTTTTCACATTTGTATTTCAGTGGCAATATTTAAACAAGTAAACACTTCTCACTGTTGCAAAATGGAAATGGGACGTGTATATGCCAATGCCGCAAATGCAAGCAGTTGGCTCCAAATGTTATGAATCCATGTCTGGCTTTTGCAGTTGCTGCATTTAGCGCCGAGCCAGGCAGCAGCAGCAGCAGCAGCGTCCTCGGACCTGCCGCTCGGCTTGGTTAGCGGACGTGGTCTTCAGACAACGTGTGTCGCGCTCTGTCTTGCACCACAGCTCAAGGTCGGTTCGTAACGTCAGACCCACAGGGGGCCTTGGCTTGATCACAGCCTGTTGAGCAGGGCTTAGTTTATCCAGTCATTCAGCACCGATTTCCTGCTAATCGTCAACGCTCTGTGTTGATTGCATTCACACAGCAGCCAGAGCAAGATCATCTTCCTACTCTTTGGTTCTTTCGGTAAAGTCACGTAGGTATAAAATAAAATAAATCATCTTCCTACCTATACTTACACAGCTCGTCGCTGAACAACTGCCAGCACGATATCACAGAGCTAGTTTTTTTTTAAAAAGGTGTTAAATTGTACAATGTACATTTTTAATATTCGCACTGTATCGTTGGTCGGTGGATAAAATTAGTAAAGTGTATAAATTGAAAATATTTATTTGAGATGTTTCTGCTGTTGAGGTTTTTACACGAGCTTTTAAAGCGGTGAGACAATGAATGAGCGAATGTTTGGGAAATGTTCTGTAGTCGAAGGCTATGCAACAAGAAATTGTGCATGTTTTGTTGCTACTGCTTGTTTTAACACTAAAATGAGTGAACCTTACAACATGGCACATAGGAGGAATACCATGTAAACACAGACCTCACCCTCATCACCATCTGTACATTAAATATTTACAAAGTCGCTGCTTTTTATGTCAACTGTGGGTGTTGACTTAGTGCAAGCTAGCCCGGATCGGCTCCCATTGGTCGTGTAGGCAAGCGCAGATCTGCTGCCCGTTGTTAGTTGAGAAAACCCCCACTTGAAGTGACTTCAGCAGTGGTTCTGTGGTGTTCTCTTCTTGGGCCATTCCCAAATGTGATGCGGTGCTCTGTTGGCTGTGAGAATTACATAAATAGGTTTATTCACCTCATGACATAACATCCATGGGCCGATTGGAATAAAGTCCGTCATAAAATATAAGATGATGTATCTACCAACGGGCACCAATTAGCAAACTCCTGCACCATGTAGATATGACAATCTGTGCAGAGGTGATGCGCAAAGGGGGTTGAAAGCCTGTGTAAAGTGAGGAGGGCACATTACGTGAAAGTGAAAGAGGAAATAGACGCGAGAAAAAAACTTTGTAAGTCATGCTCAGGGCAAATGGAAATCCGCATCAGCACTGACTCCACAGATAACAAATGGATCGTCGCTGTAATAAACCGCTGTTAAAATGAAACACGCAGTGAAAAGAGCGCACGCGAGGCTGCTGTTCCAAACAGCCACTCGCATGTGCTGCCATGGTGTTGTGCTGCCACGGTGTTGTCCTGCCACGGTGATGTGCTGCCATGGTGTTGTGCTGCCACGGTGATGTGCTGCCTGCGTGCCATGAGCCTCAGTCCAGATCGCCCCCATTGACTGCAGTGTGCAGGTCATTCTAGTGCACATTCGTGAAGCGTCGTGTCTCCTGCTGGGATCCATGCCTTCAAGATACCAGGATAGTCCCGTTTGCAAGAGTGACCTGAGGCATTTGTCCACCAGTAGGGGGCGATGATTAGTATGTATAATCCCAAATTGAGTATTTTGTGGGATTTTTTTTATAATTTGGCAAATTTGGACCGTGATACCGGCACGCAATGGCCTACTCTTGCAAATTACATCATTTGATCTTTAACATATACTCTGATTATGGTTGTTACAACCACAGTAATAACCAGGGCAGCCGCTAGATTCGAATGGTGAACCTCTGCAACAAGCGGCGAATGAGTTGCCGTGAGGCCATGTTCACTGCCTTGTGGTTGAGGGGGCCTGGTTAGTGAGGCGCGGTTCACTTACGTGACCATTTGACGTCTCTCGTGAATGCTCAAACGTGACTGTACCGACACTAATAATTAGAAATAAGAAAACCTTACGTGCAAGTAATAATCCCTTTGAAGCTATGTATTACTTGATTTTCTGAGACACATCCTCTGATGCGTTATTCTTCGTAGTGTCATTAATTTTGAAGCAGGAGGCCTTACTTTTTAATTATTTATCAGTGGACTGATGCACGCGAATGTACAGCGTTGAATCGGCAACCGTAGATAAAGAACACAAATTCCCACATTCTGTAGTTGATGGAACATTGTCGAAAGTCACGGCCACCACCACCCACACGTAGTCTCTCCCCCACCTCTTATTCCACCGTAATTGCTAACACTGCTCCTGCATTCATATTACAGTGCTATATTGAATGTGTGGTGAATTTTCTAGGTCTCAAATCCTATGTAAATAAATAATGTTATGAAACAACGTAGACATCATGTAGAAGATGTACTTAATCAATTATTTATATGTTCTTCCACTACCTTTTTGGTAATTTATGACAAAGTCAATAGTCTTGTCAACATTCTCCCCGCTCCAGTGAGCTTAGGACATTCATCATCTCTCTCAGCAGCCTTGAGCCAATGTCAGATATTGTATATTTATTGCCAAAGCAGGATCCAGTCTCTGCATGGGCATGTACCAATTGTGCTACTGGAGTCAGATCAGGGCTGCCACTTCTGAGGCACAAAAACAGAATTTAAAAGTCAAAGTTATTTCTTGCCCTGAATGTCCACTGTTTACTTCCCTACGCCAGTGATTGAAATTCAACATTCCTATGGTGGGGGCGAGTCTATCCACTGTACAACCACTGTTGACTTCCTTACAAAGTGGTACTTATTTAAATTACTTCAGAGGAATGATGAGCTGAGGTACAAAAACTGGGGGATATCACGATGAATTGAAGCACCTTTAATGGCCATAGGGATAACGTGATCCTAGTATATTTATGATCACGCACCTCGAGACAAATATTAATCAAGGAATTGAAGCGTAATTCCATCCTTCCAGGTGATTTCTTCTCTATCTCTCTTACCAAGATACCAAAGGGCACTCCATCTCGTACTCCCTTCAATTAAGAGTCTTCATTCAATATAAGGACCTCAGTCAGATATATGTGCGAATCAGCAGTTTGTTCAGCGACTGTTATAACCAGGTTGAAGATATCACCTCACTACTCTTGAAAAAATGGTTTAATCACCGTTGGCTGCTCGATTCGAACCCAGGATCTCGGCAGTGTTGATTCTGTGCTCTTACCCAAGAAGGGGTTCATTGGCTTTCTCGTTGTGAATATTATTTTGTTTGTTTTCCATTAATTAACTAAAGCACCTGTATTTGTGTAAGGGAGGAAGCTTGTTTTAGAAGGGCGGTCTCACATGATGCTGTGTCTTCGGCTTGGTTTTTGCAGAGTACTTTGACCCATGGATGAGAATGCAAAAGAGTGTGTAACAAAGCACTTGATAGCAGACACAAGGTTGAGACATTCTATCATGTGACAACGTGGAAACTACTCCCAATTATTGAGCGGCACTATATTCAATCAATAGATGCCTTTTTATGGAGGTTTCCCCCAAGCTACGGTATCAATTCCTCACACTTCATTATTATTATTATTTAAATACCCTGCGTAAAAGTACCGAATATACCATGCTCAATGTGATCATATGTACATCTATATGCCTACACTCGTATATGAGAACCACAGTACTGTAGTGTTATGTATGTGCAGAGGATAAATGTATTCAGCCTATATGATGTGGTATGTTATCATACACTTGGCAAATGCAATACTGCCTTGTGACAGTTTGACTCCAAAGGGTCATTGGCACAGAAGCACACGTGTAACTGTATATCTGTATGTGTAAACACAATGTATAGTTTGATGGGGCAATAAAAGGCAACACTTCAGTGAATAAAGCTGAAGTCACTCAGCCAAAGTGTCGCTACCGTCTCTTGCTAATTGAAGACAAAGGTCCCCCGTATGGCCTTCAATAGGCTGTTTGGGTAAGTGCTGTTAGTGAGCACGTTATTAAGGTTGTCATGGCACACGAGGGGGTTGGTGGCCAGCACCCCAGTGATGATGTTTTACACACCACACCAGGTTCTAATTTAAGGCTGAGTTAACCTAGATGAGGCCTGAGACCAGTTCCGATATGTTTGTCACCGATGATGGCCATGAGCAGGAATCGAACTTGGGCGTCCTGGTTCGTAGTGCATTGCGCTAACCTTACGCTACCACTCCCCATAATATCACGCATTATAAAATGGTTTGCTAATACCACACACTGCATGCAAATACCGTATCCTGCTGTGTGTGAACATTAGGCAGATGACAGATTAAGAAAGTGCATAATATTTAGGTGATGTGCCCACGTGCTTCAGAGGCTATTTATTTCCTCTGGGCATGCAGTTCTGGCAGCTACACTCAGTACCCCATTAGTTCTTAAATATCACAGTGTAACCTGTACATTAACCTTTTGGCACACACCACGGGCACTTTTAGATTTTAAAGGACAGATCTTTTTAAAACACTTTTTTCCAAAACTATATTTAGTTTTGAATTCAGGATTTGCATTGTACATTCGAACTCATCTTAAGTGTGACCTTATTACCCATGCCTCCTATTATCCGTAGGAGCTTTAGGATCCGTAAAAACTCAAATAACAGTATCTGCAATTATCTGAAAGTATTGTCCATCCATTGAAAATCGACTTCCTATTATCCGTGATTTTTTTGCAAATAAGTGGATTTTGAAAGCAAATTTATCCCATTATCCACAAATTTTTCATGGTTAGGTTAAGTGTCTTTGTAGATATAATTCCCAAAGATGGATCTGCAATGTCCGTCCCCCACATTGCCGAGTTTTCTATTGTTTTTTGATTTATGTGGGTGAAACACACATGGTTACTATTATACAATTTCATGTTACATGTACTGCAGTAGATTTAACCGTTGTAAGGGTAGCAGAGTGACGTAGTGGTAACCCTTGTCCCTCACTGCTTGAAGCCCCTGGGTTAGAGTCCCGACTCGGGCACCTTTCTGTGTGGAGTTTGTATGTTCTCCACCTGTTCTGATTGGGTTTCCTCCAGGTTCTCCGGTTTCCTCCCATACTGAAAAAGACCAACATATAACTGGTGTTGGCCAACTGGAAAAATACCTGCAAATTACTCAATTAACATCTTCCCCTTCTGTGAATACTTGGCAGGACCCTCGATATATTCTTGAGACTCAGGCTTTCTTGGCTAAACACGCGAAATAATAATAGTTATTTGAGGTCTGTGGTCGTGGCTTATAGGCAATCACACTCAAGCAACAACCATTTGTGAATCCACCATCGTGATATTTAGCAAAATTGTGTGATAGTGGGATATTATGGGGATCGGTAGTCTTAATGGTTAATGCAATATTTGTCAATCTATTGCTGGATAAGGCCTAAGGGCCTCTTCATACCGTGCAGGTTGTGGGCGTGAAATGGTCACTATCACCACGTTGGTCATTACAGTTTGGTGAGGAGCATCGAAGTTGGACCATTGTGAAGATCATCAATGAATATTGGTGCACTGCCCTCTGCTGAAAATGTACTGGTGCAAAATCACATTGCAGCTAATGACTAAAGCAAAATGCTTTTGTACTTGTGGTGTAAGAGAATAATTTTACACAGTGAGGTGATATCACCAGTGTACAGAATCATCCATGCGTTATTGGTCTACGTAAGACAAACCTTTGCCTGTGTCTTCTCGTTTTCTTTGGGATATGGCTTTGAGTAAGGATTTAAGGTGCGCTTAATCAGAATGATTCGCTAGGGTTATTTCAATTACCATTGTATATTCAGTTTTGAAAATAAACATAAATTCAATCACATGTCCAATATCTATTATGTGTAAATAGACAAAGGTTCCCCTCAGAGCCTTAACAGACTGTTAGGCCAAGTACTGTAAATGAGCACCTTTGAAGGCTGCCACGGTAGACGAGGGGGTAGGTGGATCAGCACCACCCCCGACCGCCTTTATCGCCCCCAGATTTCGATTTAAAGCTTTCGTGACTGCAAGGATTCATCTTCTTTGGTTCTTTCGGTAAAGTCACGTAGAATGAGAATAAAATAATAAATTGATAAAATAAAATAACACAATAATATTCTCACAACGTTTCAGCCATTTCTGTGACCAGTCACAAGCTAATCACTCAGCCATTTCAATGCTAAATTCTATGCTAATTCCTTTGTCAAGGCGCTTTGTTTCTTCTCACACAGCTTAAATGTCGTGATCTGAGCGTGGCTTTTTCACTCCAGCGCTGTCCTCCAGACAGTCTCGTCCCTTCACCTGATGAAGGCCGCTTGTGTTGTGGCCGAAACGTCGTGAGAATATCATTGTGTTATTTTATTTTATCAATTCATTATTTTATTCTCATTCTACGTGACTTTACCGAAAGAACCAAAGAAGACGCCCCCAGATTGTTGATGTTTTTACACACCACACCAGGTACTCATTTTTTGGCCGAGTCGACCTAGGGTAGGCCCAGGACCGGTTCAGGTAATCGTCACTGGTGCTGACCGTGAGCGGGAATCGAACTCGGGTGGCCAGGTTCGTAAGGCAGTGCGCTAACCGCTACACCACCGCTCCCCATAGATGTTGTGTATGCGTAGCTATCCCACGGTGTATTGAACAAGGGACAGTAACAAGCACAATTCCTTATCCATTGTATTTATCCAGCGAACCTGACACCATCTCTACATTACCCACCCTAAACATATACAGCATAAGTATCCAGCATATTTAGATTGTTTCTATTGCAAGAGTCTCGTTCAAATGGTCCCGATTCACAAATTAACCTTATTCACACATGCTAAAGAATGTGTGCACAGTAGCACCACTGTTATCCGTGGTTGTCCATTCCGATTATTAGACTTTATATGTAAAACATCTACATTATACTGTGTAGTTAATGCAATAATTCAAAAAATATAAAAATTACCTGAAAATAAACAGTTTTCCAATCCTGTACGCATAATCGTACTGCAGATCTATGTCTCTATGTAAACATGGTTCCCCAGCTTTCCTTTGTAAGAGAGATCATGCACTCGGACTCTTAACCAGGTTTTTTAAATGTGAGGACAGTGATTTATGTATGCAATTATATTTGGCATACAACATAAACGTAGCCAGTGTATTCATAGTACTATTAAAAGCATGGTACCATGGTTATGTATGCGATGTGTTTGAACAATTTACAAAAGCCCGGTTGAATCACGGCTTGTTTACATTCCCGTATTATTATCGGATTAAGCAAACGTTTGCATCATTGTGGAGGCAAATATAAAACTTGGCCTTGACAAACACCGACACATTTTTTCCACACGCACAAAAAATGCATGGGGCTTTTCCATATTCACAAGCGCAGAGGGAAAAAAAACGACACCGAGGGAATAAGTATTCTACATTATACAAGGACGCCGTATTTGTGTGATGGTTGGAATATTGATGTTCCCAAAGGCATTGATGGTGTCCAAATGCACCCACAGCAGCACCAAGGAGGGATGTGTCTTGGTGGGGAGGTGTCAGTGGCAGCTGATTGACGAACGCCTCCTCTGCCCTGCAATGAGGCGCAACGCCGCCCCCAACTATCTCAGCAAGGTTGGGGGGCAGCAGTGCGCCTCCTCCCTGTGCTGCGTGGCTATATGCGGGCGTTTTCCGCAGCCGATAATTGCAATTCGCAATTGATTTACGTATTAGGCCACGAACAGTAATTATCTGGCCAAATGTCAGTGGCAGGACGCTCCACTATAACCCGACAGAGCCAAATGAATTACTCCGTCACCACCGCGTGCAAGCGTTCAAAGTACACAATGTTTTATTTTCTTTAACCAGGCAAGGCCCACTGAGCTATGTAGCTCTTTTTCAGAAGCAACCTGGCCACAAATGATAGCTCAATTAAGTGGCGTATCACGTGGAAATGTATCGCAGCCAAATACTCTGAACGCGTGCTTTCTAAATAAAACCCGGAGGACCCGGAGACAAATCCACGCGACCACTCAAATATACAGCAGCAGCAGGCGTCACAGGGTCGGGATCGAACCCACGACCTCCTGTATACCGGGCGAGGGAGTTAACATCTCCTAGCCACCGTGGCACCCAGCGTCTTTATCAAGCGAGACCTCTGACTTTCTTAATTTTTCTTAATTTCAAGATGCTCGACGGACTTTTACGCGGTGGTCTGTTTGGTTATGTCGGGTGGTGGAGGGGACTTGTAACACAAACGTGACCAGATCATTACGTGGCCTAATTCCAAATCCCCCCCCCCCAAAAAAAACACATAAATCATTAACCGTAATACGCGTAATTGAGTGCGAAAACCTGCAAAGTGTTCATATATTTTTTAAAATTACAAATGCGCAGTGAACCTGTAAAGTGTTCATATACATTATATATTTGTTACATTACAATGTGCAGTGAACCCGCAAAGTGTTCATATACATTATACATTTGTTACATTACAATGCGCAGTGAACCTGCAAAGTGTTCATATACATTATACATTTGTTACATTACAAGGCGCAGTGAACCCGCAAAGTGTTAATATACATTATATATTTGTTACATTACAATGTGCAGTGAACCCGCAAAGTGTTCATATACATTATATATTTGTTACATTAGAATGCGCAGTGAACCTGCAAAGTGTTCATATATATTTGTTACATTACAATGCGCAGTGAACCCGCAAAGTGTTCATATACATTATATATTTGTTACATTACAATGCGCAGTGAACCCGCAAAGTGTTCATATACATTATATATTTGTTACATTACAATGCGCAGTGAACCTGCAAAGTGTTCATATACATATTCTTAGCTCTTTCGGTAAAGTCACGTTGAAGGGAAACAAAATAATAAAAAAATATATAAAACAATAAAAATTCTCACGTTTCGACCATAACGCAAACGGTCGTCATCAGGTGTGTCGGTTTGCATAACTGTATTTATTTTTAAACGGTGTATTTATTTATTTATAAAAACGTCAGCGCCACGCGCAGCAATTTGGCAGTTTATTTAGAAGGACGAGTCCATCATGTTCTGAAAAGAGGAGGGGGGAGACGAAAAATTAATATATGCTGTCTGAAAGCCTCTGAAAGCCACTGTAAGCGTGAACAATCAATTAAGACCTGAAATGGTTTATCAAATCTTTCCAATGATTGCTAAGCCAGAATCCATCTTCTCGGTTGAAATTGTCTCTGTGCTTGTATATGTAGATAGCCTCATGAACGAATCTCACATGGTAGCCAGATGGCTTAAAAATAACCTCTGTCTTGGAAAAGTCAATGTCATGTGAGCCTACTGAATTATAACAGTGATCTGCCACGGCCGAGGTGTTGGTCCTACCGTGTTTAAGGTCTGTTTTGTGTTCACGAATGCGGTCCGAGACATGGCGTTTGGTTTCTCCAATGTAACTACTACCACAGAGGCAACTTAGTTTGTAGACACCAGGGTACTGTATATCCGGAATCACATCTTTTACAAATGGAACCAGATCACGGATTTTATGTAATGTGTTGAAACGGACCTGGATCTTGTGTTTATTCAAGATTTTGGAGATCTTTTTTTTATACATTATATATTTGTAACATTACAATGTGCAGTGAATCTGCAAAGTGTTCATATACATTATATATTTGTTACATTACAATGTGCAGTGAACATTTCTCAGCGTCCACCAGAGGCCGCTGTAGCAAGGCTCACGTAAAAACCGCGCTGAGCAAGGCGGGCGTTGATTGGTCGCCGCGCCGACCATTGACAGCAGCCAATCACCACGCTCGGCTTTACGGTATGGCATACTGTATAAACAGTTACACTGTACAACACTTAACGACATTAATCGCGACTTTTACAAACATTCAATGTTTAATTTTATTTATTAACATGCGCTGCTTGCTGGAGCTGACACGGCAGTGGCTTTTTTCGTAATAAAAAAACGCGGATTATTTAAAATGTGCGTTGCTGCCGTTGCGTAATGGTGAGAGCGCGAGTGGCGAGTTCGATCTCTCGGCGCGGCAGGCGAGCCGCTGGGTCCGCGTGCGCCGTCCCCTCCGCCGCTGTTCACCCCGCAGTGTAAATGTCGACGGCCCCTTTGATTCCTTACAACAAGTTTTTATTTGGTGTTTGAACATCTTGACGCCTCCCGCTGCATTGCCAGCTACTGTTGCATACTTCGATACAGGCAAGCAGCTCCCACTTTCGGTACAGCACCGTCGTTTCGATGGACAGGTCGCGTTCGTGTGGCGGGCTAAAGTGTGGGTATCCTCACCTGCAGGGCGTCTCGGCAGCGTGGAAGAGTAGGCCACAAACCCTCTCGAGGGGCTCTCGAAATCTGCCTCGAGTGGAGGCTTCTTCAGCAAGCAGTGGCGTCAGCAAGGTTATTCTAAACGGTTATTTAATGGTTACAATAATGTAAAGTCACACTGCCAGGCCTCGTTAGAATTTAAATAATTAACATTAAGCACTTAAAATAATATCCCATTAAATATTTGTATTAGCTGAGACTAACTCTCAGCATTAGCAGGGCACTTAGGCCACACTGGCTTAAGCGAATTCACAACCTCTTGGGCATTACACATTGGGTTTAGCATTCAGCTTCAATGAGCCTTAACTTTTGAAATATAAACAAAACATTAATATACTTTCTAGAATAATAACTAATGGCGTTTATTATCCTCGCATTGTGCTGGTAAATTAGAGCTCTCAGTAGTTTGCCTATGATAGCCTCGCCCCCGCCAAAGCAATGTGGAATTTCCGCAACTACCTCATGGCTGTAAATGGGGTATGAGCATCGCCTCATGATCATTTGAAAAGGAAACCGCTCTAACTTTTTTGCTTAACCGGGATGTGAAGCCCTTAAACCGAATACATATCCACTCGGGTACATCAGCACGTAGTGCAGTGCGTGTTACCTGCTCGAGACGCTCTCATCCAGCAGTGAATTGACAACAGGACTGTGTATGTACTGTGCACGTAACTGCTTGAAACAGCTGATCGATCCTCCAAGAGATGTGGCAGGTGAACATTTTCTGAACCATAGCCGAGAATTGTCCAGTGATGGCTGGAGTACGTAGGACCGTATAAAGTTTCAAGTCAAATTGCGATATCAAGTACCGATGTGGCTGTCTCAGGCCGATATCAGAATCTGTATTTATATTGGAGGAATCCGATGAGCTATGAAGCTCTTTTTCACAATGTCTAGTATTTTCACAGATGTCCATATCTTGTCAGCCATTGTGATAATTATGGTGAGATTGTAACGTATTCAAATTCTGTGTCGTGTTGCTTACTTTGTAATGTGATGACCATTTTTTAAATGAACAAATTGTTCACGTGTGACAAACTATGCCCCACTTGTCGAATGGGTACAGATGAGTGGAAGGTGGCGCGGAGGAAGGAAGCGAGGCCACTGGGTGGCACCAGAGCCTGGGCACAGGCGGTGAGTGCGGGCCTGCAATCGTGCACGATGGTTCACGGATTTAGATTTAAGTCACGTACTAATTAATACACAGGGCTTAATTTCTCAATGAATATTTTCTAGGACACTGGTAGACTGGAAGAAAGTACGTGACTTGTAGCTGGAGTCATTGAGAAAGGTATACTGCATGTGTGCCGTGTGCGGATAATTTTCTGTGTCACTGACCCAGACAACCAACGACAATAATTGTGCCTTGATAGGACATATAATCGTTAATTTATTAAAAAAAGATTTTGATAAGTAGACGACATATATTGTAGTATTTGTGGATAGAGCTTTACTATCAATTATATGCTAAAGTTTTCATTAGATTTATAGGGCGAACAACAACAAACGAGACAACAACAAACGAGACCATACAAACGAGGGAAAATGTATCCTAATGAATTTAATTGTTACATGCACATTGCATATGCTTGCCAATCTTGGTTGGTTTTTTTTTTTCAGTCCAATAATAGCTGTGGCCATTATCACACAGAGTAGAGATGATTGCAAGGGTTGGTGGCTCACATAGATTTGTGAACCTCCCGAATATCTTGCACTGTGAGTTGATGAAGAAATGGCAATACAGCACGTGGGTTTCTGCACAGATTTGTGTGGACGATTGAGCATTATTCCCTGAACATGAATGGGGTTTTTCTGCAGTTTGCCTGGCTTACTCCCAAATGTCCAATTCTCATTAAAATGTAAATGGTACAATATCCCAATGCAGGACCGTAATTATAAATAGACTCGAGATTCACTGAGACTTTTCTGGATAAATACATTACTTTGGTGTTGATTAAATCCTTGAAGACTTTTCAACATTAACCAGGTGGGAGCCCATTAAGGTCCAAGTTAAAATGTTGCAACGCAGACCTTGAAGTCTTTAATTGCACTTTAAAATAAACGTTTTAAATTCCTAATCTAAATGCAACCACATTTGAAGTTACTTGTGGGAAGATATTTTACTCCAAAAGGCTAACCCACTGGGTTCACCCTGGCTGATGTTTGAACCCATAAGCGATTGGCAGCTTGAGAACTGAACTACAGTTTGGCTACATAAAATATTTTGCTTCAGAATAAACTTAAGTTGTAGAAAAGGATTTATTTTTCACAGACACGGATCCTATTGAGAGCGAGTGCTCACACCAAAAACACGGTAAAGCAAACGTATTTGATAACCAAGGCTGGCTGCAAATGAGACCCAGAATGTCAAAACAGGGCCAGAATTTGCTTAAACATATTCTGTTTAATATAAGTTTAAAAGGCCAATATGCTGATGGACTAACAAATGTATTTTTTTCTGAGCTCGAGAATGAAAGTTGATTTATCTATACTCCTTGGTTTTATTCGGTAAAGTCACGTAGGTAAAATAAAATAAAACAAAAGAAAACAATTAAATCACGATGTTTCGGAGGCAACACAAGTCTCCTTCAGGTGGAACAGACAGCGGAACATCAGTGTCAAGTGGACAGCTCAGAGACTGGGTCTATATACAGGTCAAGGGGGGGGGGGGAGGAGTCAGACCGGGATGTGGGTGGTGGGGGGAGGGCTGAGCCAAGCCGCTCCTTGTCACGACGCAGGGGGCTCGGAGGAACGGAGGTGCCTCTTGTGCAAAAATGGGTAAAACACCTTTGTTATGCTGCCGGGGGTTGGAGGAAAGGGATGGCGCGCTGCAAGGGTGCAAGTACAGCTTCATTTTTTTATAAAGCATTAGAAATGGCTGTATAATTATAAGGTACCTAAAGTTTGACATACAACTACTGGGAGATGGAAATGGCTGTACAATTAAAAGGCAGCTAACGTTTGACTTGATTTATAACATCTTTCCAGTGGTTGCTCAATTTGAAACCATCCTCTCGGTTGAAGTTGTGTCTGTGTTTGTAAATCTGGATGGTCTCGTGGACAAATCTCTGATAATAACCGGTAAGTTGGCAGAGTAGCTTGGTATCAGAGAAAACAATATCATGATCACCCACAGCGTTGTAACAGTGATCAGCCACGGCAGAAGAATTCGTTCTGCCGTGTTTCAAATCTGATTTGTGCTCACGAATTCGGTCAGAGATATGTCGCTTCGTCTCCCCGATGTAGCAGTCACCGCAGGTACAACTCAATTTGTAAACACCGGGGTACTGTAAGTCAGGGATAACATCCTTTATGGATGGGATCAGATCACGGATTTTGTGTTCTGTGTTGAACCGGACCTGGATCTTGTGTTTGTTTAGAATTTTGGAAATCTTTTTAGTAACGTCTGCTATGTATGGTAACGTGATGATTTTGATCGGAGTGTCAAGTGGTTGTTTCTGTATGGTGGGAGAAACAGCTTGGCGGATGGTACGGTCAGAGTAACCGTTCATCTTGAGGGCCAGATGTACATGTTTTAATTAACTGGTCAGGTGGTGTTGGTCAGAAATGCAATGAGCCCTATAGTATAACGTTTTGATGAGAGAATTCTTCTGAGTTGGGTGGTGGTGGGAATCAGGTTTCAAGTAGGAGTCTGTTTGGGTGGGCTTCCTGTAAACAGAATGTCCCAAAGAGCCTTCAGACCTTCTCTCAAACAGAACATCCAAGAATGGCAGCTTGCCATCTTTCTCCACTTCCATGGTGAATTTGATGGAAGGGTGTCTGGAATTGATGTGGTCTAGGAAAAGGTTCAAAGCTGGGAGGCCATGTGGCCAAATGACGAAAGTATGATCCACATACCTCTTCCACAGGGAAGGACTGAGGGTGTATGTCTGGATGGCGCCTGATTCAAATTTTTCCATGAAAACATTGGCTATCACTGGTGATAAGGGGGAACCCATGGGGGTACCCTCATTTTGTTTGTAGAAGGTGCCATTCCAAGTAAAGTAGGTGTTGGTGAGGCAGTGCTTAACCAACGCAGGTACATCGGGGTCAAGTCTATGTTGGACCAGATCTTCGATTATTGTAATGGTATCAGGTACTGGGACCTTGGTGAACAGAGAGACCACATCAAAGCTGACGAGGATATCGTCAGGAGACAGTACAATGTCCTTAACCATAGAGACCAATTGGGTTGAGTTAAGTACTGCTGAGGTGGTCTTGCCAGTGAAGGGAAGCAGAGTATCTGACAGAAAACGGGCCAGCTTGAAGGTAGGGGAGTTGATAGTGGACACGATGGGTCGTAGTGGGGTACCTTCTTTATGGATCTTGGGAAGACTATAGAATCTGGGAGGTCTTGCAGCGGAGGGTTTTAGGGAGGGACGTTTAGTTGGTTCGATTAGGGAAGTCGAACTTGTGATGATCTTGTTGGTTTTCATAGTTAGGCTGTTAGTAGGGTCATTTTTTATTTTTTAGTCATTTGGCCACATGGCCTCCCAGCTTTGAACCTTTTCCTAGACCACAAATTCCAGACATCCTTCCATCAAATTCACCATGGAAGTGGAGAAAGATGGCAAGCTGCCATTCTTGGATGTTCTGTTTGAGAGAAGGTCTGAAGGCTCTTTGGGACATTCTGTTTACAGGAAGCCCACCCACACAGACTCCTACTTGAAACCTGATTCCCACCACCACCCGACTCAGAAGAATTCTCTCATGAAAACGTTATACCATAGGGCTCCATTGCATTTCTGACCAACACCACCTGACCAGGGAATTAAAACATGTACATCTGGCCATCAAGATGAACGGTTACTCTGACCGTACCAACCGACAAGCTGTTTCTCCCACCATACAGAAACAACCACTTGACACTCCGATCAAAATCATCACGTTACCATACATAGCAGGCGTTACTAAAAAGATTTCCAAAATTCTAAACAAACACAAGATCCAGGTCCGGTTCAACACAGTACACAAAATCCGTGATCTGATCCCATCCGTAAAGGATGTTATCCCTGACTTACAGTACCCCGGTGTTTACAAATTGAGTTGTACCTGCGGTGACTGCTATATCGGGGAGACGAAGCGACATATCTCTGACCGAATTCGTGAGCACAAATCAGATTTGAAACACGGCAGAACGAATTCTTCTGTCGTGGCTGATCACTGTTAAAACGCTGTGGGTGATCATGATATTGTTTTCTCCAATACTAAGGTACTCTGCAAACCTACTGGTTATTATCAGAGATTTGTCCACGAGGCCATCCAGATTTACAAACACAGACACAACTGTGTTTGTAAATCTGGATGGCCTGAGAGGATGATTTCAAATTGAGCAACCACTGGAAAGATGTTCTAAATCAAGTCAAACGTTAGCTGCCTTTCAATTGTACAGCCATTTCCTTCTCTCAGTGGTTGTATGTCAAACTTTAGCTACCTTATAATTATACAGCCATTTCTAATGCTTTATAAAAAATGAAGCTGTACTTGCACCCTTGTAGTGCGCCATCCCTTTCCTCCAACCCCCGGCAGCATAACAAAGGGGTTTTACCCGTTTTTGCACAAGAGGCACCTCCGCTCCTCCGAGCCCCCTGCGTCGTGACAAGGGGCGGCTTGGCTCAGCCCCCCCCCTACCCACATCCCGGTCTGACTCCTCCCCCCCCCCCCCCGACCTGTATATAGACCCGGTCTCTGAGCTGTCCACTTGACACTGATGTTCCGCAGTGTCTGTTCCATCTGAAGAAAGAGACTTGTGTTGCCTCCGAAACGTCGTGATTTAATTGTTTTATTTTATTTTACCTACGTGACTTTACCGAATAAAACCAAAGAGTATGAATCCTTGCAGTCACGAAAGCTTCAAATCTAGAATTGATTTATCTACTTTAATTACATATGACCATTATTGATTGCCCTGGTCTCAACTTCTTTCATGAAGATTATTGGCCTTTTTGGGTTATCAGGTGTCTGTGGGTACAACTCAGACGCTGTTATGTGCAGGAGGGATGATTGTGGGTTCTCTATTTTGTCAGGATGAGACACAGACACCGACAGAGTGAAGCACATGGGGAGGGCACGTCCTCAGCAGCTGCCGTCTCACAGGTGGCCCAGACGGAGAACACGAGCGACGCACCAGGTCAATGCCGGGGGTGCTGTGGTGGCGAAATGTTAATTACCTCGCCTAGTATACAGGAGGTCGTGGGTTTGATCCAGACCCTGACACCTATATATGTGTAGTTTGTATGTTTCCGTGTCTCTCTCCCCTTGGTCACGTGGATTTTTCTCTGGGTCCTCCAGTTTTCTCTCCAACATTATAAAGGACTCTTCTCACCCTGGACACTCTCTGTTTGAGCTGTTGCCATCAGGCAGACGATTCAGATCAGTCAAAACAAGGACAAACAGATTCAAACACAGCTTTTATCCTACAACAATTACCACACTCAATACTGCTAATTCATTATTAAGTAATACTGTTTACAATTGACTGTAAAATAGGTATGTGCAATGATAAAATGTACTTTTATGTAGGTATGTAGGTATACTTGGGTAGTTTTTATATATAAAATGTATTGATTATCTTTTATTTTATTTTTATTTCTTTTATTTATTTTAATTTATGAATGATGTACTGACTGGTGAGCACTTTAAATTTCGTTGTACTGGTGACAATGACAATACAGGATCTATCTATCTATCTAGAAACATACCTTTAGAGTGTTTCGTTGTTATACATTTCCATATTATAAGACTCTTCGTTGAGCTATCATTTGTGGCCAGGTCACTTCTGAAAAAGAGCTCTATATCTAAGTGAACTTTAACTGGTAAAAAAACACACACATAGGAGTCAGAGTCAGGAGTTGCCAGAAATAACTTTCAAAAGTCAATGACTGGAAAAGGGGCTTTTATATATTCGGTTATTGGTGCTGGCCACACTGACTGAACATGCTCGCTGTTGCAGTGAGCTGATCGTGGGAGGCAGGCACACACCTCTAATCCATTGTTTTGGAGGCAAGGGTCGGAGGATCGTAAAGATTTCTGAAACTCCCAAATTTATTATGCTATGAGGTGGCTCGGAAATGGCATTACAGCAAGTGAGTGACATTGCAAATATGATTGGGATAGAGTTAAGAGGTTTTTGGTAGCTAAAGCATATTCGATCCTGTGCATATTTCAAATTCATTTTTGTAGGTCACAAACTGTACATGCAATTCTGTCTTTTAAATGCATTGCTGATGGTGGTCACAAAACGAAAGCACACTCTAGTGGGCGTAGTTAGAGGATTGCGGAATAAACTAGCAGCTGCCACATATTCAATTATAATGTTACACGGCTTGGATTATATTAGAAACTTTTTGACTTTTTCTTGCCTATGTCTTTGTGTAGCATACTCGTATGTCCATGTCTAATAGCCAAAGGAACAACCTTGGTGGAAGCTGAAATGACTTGTGACTCTACTCTGAAGGTCATATTTTGTTATCTGTGAAAAAAAAGATTTTCACAGCTAATCGGATTCCTCCAGTCTAAATATATATTCTGATTTTGACAAACTATGCTTTATGATTGTTTCTAATCATTGCATGCTAGTTGTGCTATCAGAGTGAAAAGGTGACGAAATATTTTGTCAAAACTCCCCAAGTTAGCAAAATATCGCACCTTGTCAGGGAATGGCCATAACCCTTAAAGATCACACTTATAGTCACTTAAATCGGCTTGTCACCTCACACCAGATTGTGCACCTTAATACGCTTTTAAGATTTTTTGACTGCTTGCCAGTCATTCTTTATTCGCTATTTTAAAAGTATAACACCGATGGCTACATTAGACTGGATTAACAGAAAAATGCTACAATTAAATTATAATGTGCTGAGATGAGTGAACTAAACTGAAGTGTAACATTGTGCAGCTAGTAGTGATTTGCCATACTGTAAACTGGCCACATTGATCTAAGAGTTACCCAAAAGTTGTAAACAAGGCAGTGAAAAAATTACTACAGCAATCCCTCGCCAACTGGCGGGGGTTAGGTTCCTAGAAAAGGCCGCGGTAGGCAAAGCCGCGGTTGGTAAAGTACAAGGGGCTTATGGGGGTATACAGCTAATAAACCGTGTATACATGAATTCCGTAGTTGACAAGTTCGCGTCTGGCGACGGATTGCTGTACTTGCAAATATACAAAAACATTTTGTATATGTTTTGAAAATCAAATATTTACGAAAAAACATAAATAACTCTGAACATTTTTTTTCATATAATCCTCGATTACGCACGATGTTTCCTGACTTGTTCATATTAAAATTCACGGGAGTTCTTTGTAATTGTTTCAGAACTCCCAGGCTTCTACTTTGACCGGGAGAAGAACCGTTACTTTCGACTGCTGCCCGGCCACAACAACTGCAACCCCTTGACGACGGAGAGCATTTGCACACGAGAGAAGGAGCGCCAGCGTTTGCAGCTGCTCAAGCAGGATGAGAGCACCAACAGGGTAAGGGTCAACTGCCCACCCATGGTCACCCGCTCACCTGCTCACTCGCTCACTTACCCGCTCACTTGCTCATTCGCTCACCTGCTCACCCGCTCACCTGCTCACTTACCCTCTCACTTGCTCATTCGCTCACCCGCTCACCTGCTCGCTTACCCAAAACTGTAGAATGAAACGTAAATTTTTATTAATTTGTAAAACTACAATCATAATTCTGAAACTGAAATTACCATTAACAGGACACTGATGAATGTTAACTGACACAACAGTATTTACATTGAGGAGTGCAATTGAAATAAAAGATTGAGGAACTACATTGGGAATGGTACACAAGCAGGATATAGAAACATTCACCCTGTTCACCATTCACATTGCATGATCACTTTAAACGTGTTGTATGCTTTTGTTTCATGATGCAATATCCGTTCTTTGGACTCTTCACTCTGAAGAATACCGAGTGCCCTATAACCTTAGCCAGTTTCTCACAATACAGTGTTAATAAGTGACGTGGTCAGTTTTCTTCTCTTTGTAGCTCAGCTGAGCTGCCTACCGCTCATTTGCAAATAATGGCCATGTTCCATCTGCTGGCTTTATCCTGACCATGTGGCATGAATCCCACGGTCATGTGAATGATTCCAACTGGTGTAAATTCACCGCTGTTTGTGATTCTTGCGTGTGCGTGTCTTAACCTTTCTCCCTGCGAGGTCCCTCAAAATGGAGTGCCGGTCACCAGGGTGCTCAACGAGCGAAGAGCTGGCTTCCACTCAACACGATCCTACAGCAGGTCCGTTCAACTTTGTACAGCACTTTTGTGAATCCGCTGCTGGCTGAGGTCCTCTCTAAACCCTGTGCCGGCCGTGAGGGTTATTTGACCATATTTGACCACGCTGGTGAGCACGGGTTGGTGAAGGTGTGGAGCTGTAGATGTGGAAGCATCGGAGTATAGAACAATGGATTTTGCTGCACTCAACCTCTGCTGCTCATTGTGTAGCCCTGACAACCTATTTATGCATAGTGTTCACCCTTCCAAGCATTATCCAGGATCAATCTTGCTTAGCTCCAAAATCTGACGAGATCGGGCACATTCCGTGTGATTTGCTCATAGGCTAAGGCTATTAAACTTTAACTCTTAAGCTCTATTATTGCTTAATTAACCTCTTGAGTAATGCAGTGATTGGTTTTGACGGGCCTCATTCATGCATTTGGTAACCTCCCCTCTCCCATGCAGGTTGATGCACGAGCTGAAGCTTGTGGCCATGCAGCGGCGGGTGGTGCACTCCGTGAGTGGCGACTTCGGGCTAATGGAGGTACGGCTGCCCCGTTACCGGTGACGGGGTGGTCCATTGAGCTAACCTCTGGGTCCAGGATTAACCGCTGTTGGACCTCTGTCTAATGCTGTTTGTTTAACTTCGTATATGAGAAGCTTAAAGTTGCAGTGAGAAGGCCGTGTGAAGGCCAGGCATTTGGCAACACCAATTTTCTATGAATGAAGGGAAAGTATTGATGATTCTGGAGTCAGGCTAAGTTATCACTGATGGTTTTGGTTGCAGTCCATGCCTGTAATCTGGATGCTGTATTTGTGAATCACAGAGAGCGATTTGAGTTTTTGTGTGTGTGTGTAACACTCGCCAGCCGGTCAACAAAGTGATGCTCGTATTATGCAGTACTGCAAGTAGGTTTGCTGACCCATGTTCCGTTTTATGAGGTTTATCTCTTCTACTAATATGTAGACTTGCTTGGAATTTCAGATTCTTCATACCAAAGGAATTGGCCCAATTTAGCGAAAAGGACCTTCCTGAAAAAAATCTTGTAAGATTTATTAACACTTTTCTGGGTGAATAAAAATCTCCGTATGGGTACAGTTGTGGTGCAATAACTGCAGGTCACACTGTGCAACTGTTGTTTGACCACTCTTGTTGGGACAATTACAGTGACTTAGCTACCATTCCTATCTTTATAAGGAACATTTTTTCCCCATCCACATTTGCGGTGGCTGGTATGACGCGATTTGGCACGTCCTATTTGCTACAGGTCGACTCAAAATCGGAGCGCATCTTCGCTCTGTACAATGAGCACACCCACTACAAGTATGGGCTCTTTGACCTGTCCTGTCGGGAGGGCAAGCTCCATACCAAGATATACGGTGTGCTCAAGGCTTCTCCCTGCAAGGTAGGGATGTCACCAAGCGAGCGCTTGATTGGCCACGTGCAATGCAGCATTCTGGAGCGTTCGTGTGTTTATAGAAAACTCTGGGACCATGTGACCAAATAATATTGAATTGTGCTTAATTTACAAAAGAGAGTTTGGTCTCAATGGTTCTCACCTTCTACATATGTATCATGATCGTTTTATTTAAAAAAAGACAATCCATAAATAGTGTTATTTAGTACATACCCATATAAGCTTTAAAATAATTTAAAATTGTTGTGTACGTTTTGGTGTGTGTGCGTGTGTCTGCCTGCCTGTCTGCCTCAACAGCTAAACTCCATGAGTTGGGCATCGTTCAATGGGAAGGACTCTCATATTTTGTATCCTTTACCCATTATTACAAAGTGATGACCATTTTGTCACTACACAATACATTGTGGTTTAACCTTGATTTTTCATGATGGGTGGATATGGTGTCAGTTGTATGTTCATATGCTCATTTCGGAATGAGTGCGCCAGTGGATAACTTTAGCAGTTGCCCGGTGAATAACCAAAATGCTGATTTTAAGCGTTCGTGACTGCAGGAATTCATACTCTTTGGTTCTTTCAGTAAAGTCACGTAGATAGAAAATAATAACTAATTAATCACGACGTTTCGATAGCAACACAAGCCATTGTCTTCAGGTGAAAAAATACAGCAGGTGGACTGCTGAGGAGGAAATGTAGCGAGAGAGCTACTGTAACCAAAGGTTATATACGTTTGTGGTGGCTACAACCCAAGGGGGTAAGTGGGCGGGACTAGGGATGGAATTTGCAAGTCAATGTAATCGCAGAGAGGGTTGGGGTGGGTGGCCTCGGCTAATCCGAGGAGGAGGGAGGGGGGGCTGCCGGAACGGGCGAGAGGGTGGGGGTGAAATTTACAGAGGGAAAAGGTGATAGAGATTAAAAAAAGAAAAAAGATATGAAACTTAGCAACATTTAGAAATGTAATGCAACTCAGAGAGTCGGCCAACACAACAATTAACACTGTACCTGGTTGATTAACGTCCTTCCAAAGATTGCTAAATTTTGCATCCATCTTCTCGGTTGAAGTCATGTCTGAGTTGTGTGGAAACAATCAAATTGGGCAGCAGTGTTCTTTTGTTGCCCATGGTTTGAGATTGGTGACCGCAGTCGCACTGTGGGCTGTTCGTAATCGTCCATCGATGTGAGAGATTGACGCATCTGCCGTTCGATGTTCTGACGCGGTTCAACACAGACCGTTGTTTGCAGGGTAAATTGAGACTCCACTGGGATGACTGCATGCTTAATACCTTTGCCAGAATTCCATTTTATACATTCCGTTGGAACATAAGCAGCATTAGTTGCACAGGACTTGAGTTGAATTGTCTGTTTGTCGAGAACCTGTGCACCATTCACAAACACCTATTATAACTCTCCTTCCTACCTGACCTGGTTTCTGGTTACAGTTTCTGTTTACTGCTGTAGAGAAATGGTACATGAGTAGTACAATGAGTCACTACGGAGTCACGTGATCGTGGGAGCTGGGACACCGAGCCTTGACACTGCTCTTGAACAAAAACAGAGTGCAAGCTCGTTCCAGTGAGGTCGTCTAACATTCACATAGAAGTCAAAGTAGTTTTCCATTTAAACAAGCTTAAAGCATCTAAATTAGAATGTATTAATCAGTGCATATTGCCTATACAGGAACATGGCCACTGGTTAGTATATGGAACATAAGTTCATAGAAAGATACATTCTTGGGACTACAATGACAGACAAAGAGGAGTATATGGATTAGGAACATATGTACGTTAAAGATGTAATTTTACCTGGGAATAAAACTAAGTGGCTTTGGGCCGGACATGTCGCTAGTGAGGATGATGGCTGATGCCAAAAACAACTTCTTAGTGGCAGGCAAGGAAGGGGATGCACCCAAGAAGTCATCCTCCTTGGAGATGGTGCAACGAGGTTGGCTGAGGCACACGTTCTGGATGGGTGGTTCAAAATATTTGGCTTCTGCTATAAATGTCTACATGATCAGCCACTTCGTTGAGCTATTATCTGCCCAGGTCACTTCTGAAAAAGAGCTACACAGCTCAGTGGGGCTTACTTGGTGAAATTAAAAGCTTAGTTTTAGTAAGTTTAGTAAACCCGAGTATTACTGCACATTGAAATTTCTCTTCGTAGCCCTAACCCTGTTATTTGCCCCCCACTCCCCTCCAAAACTGGTGTCACTCGTTAGCTGTTCACTGCTCACGCCGTGCACTTTCACTTCCTTGACCTTCGCCCGTATCGTTCAGAATTGCTCGCAATGAAGTGGCGGTGGGTGACGGCGCGATGCACGCGTCGGTGGAGCTGGTGCCCGTCTCATATTTCACCGAAGAAGGCACAGGTCCTGCTCGTCAGGCGTGTCTGCTTGAATTGATTCTGCTTGTACAGAATTAACCCCATACACCTGCTGGAATTTTAACATCATGTTTATATGCAATAGCGTATTCTCGGAATTATAAAATGTGATGTCTTCCCTGTATTTTAATTGGGAGTATGTCTTATCCAGATAATACATTATTTTCCGATGTTTTAACTAGTTCAAAATCATCTTCCGGCATAATCACCCAGAGGAGAGATGACACCCACCAGCTCTAAAGAATCATCTTATGGAAGACATCTCCCGAATTTAAATTGGCATCTTCATAATCCTGTTATAGAAGATGGCTCTTGGTCATACCATATTCTCCCGATTTAAAATATATATTTGAAAAAACATGGCTCCAAAGTTTGTGGTGCATCTTTGCAGAGTGTTTTATAATCTGGAGAATATATAAAAATGTTTCGTCTTATATCTCGTGGCAATCTTGATTTGTGGCATTTGTGTTACACAATTTGATATATTTTTGATTTAAAGCTTTCGTGACTGCAGTAATTCATATTCTTAGTTTTTTCGGTAAAGTCACGTTGAAGAGAAACAACAAAATAACAAAATATATAAAACAATAAAAAATTATCACGACGTTTCGACCATAACTCATAACGTCGTGAGAATTTTTTATTGTTTTATATATTTTGTTATTTTGTTGTTTCTCTTCAACGTGACTTTACCGAAAAAACTAAGAATATGAATTTGATATATGTTTAACTTATTTTGCATCGTATGTAGCTAACCGTGCTAACCGCGCATTTATTGTAACTATGGGAATGGGGCGTTGTGGATTAGTCGCATGCCATGCCCTTAGGTTTACTCCCACGCTCAAGTAACACATAAGCAAACCAATCAATGCCCCTCTGAAGCAAGACCCTCCTAAATAAGTCTTGAGACCTGTATTTTTCTGCCTGCTAAATACAATCAGGCTAGACGATTCCTTTATGCTTCTCTCTCACTCTACAGGCGTTGATGCAATCTTCAACTTCACCATCCTGACTTTTTCCTGCGTTTATGGCCGTCATCCTCAACACAACCACTGCTTCAGTGCAGGTGATCCTATCCCGTTGGCATGATGCAACACTTACAGATGTTCTACTTTCATAGAACTCTATGCAGTCAACTCTCGATTATCTAGGTTAATGGGGTAGGAGTGAACTTAAAACAACTGGACAGTGCACAACATGAAAATTAGTCGAGAGAACATGTATTGTTTATCTGTTTGAGAACAGGGGTGAAGATATAGGACGTGTCATCTGTATTTATTGCTTCTTAAAGTGATTGGTTTACTGACTGACATGTTTGCAGTAAAAATAAATAATAGCTACATTGCATATTTATCCTTAGTTCGGATCTCTCCCAAGATCGACTCGGCATAAAAGAGGGACTACTTGCCGCAGTGTTCTTATAAGACTGGAAAGTCTTGATGTGGTTTGTGACATGGGATGGAGAAAATAATTTGGAGAGAAAGAGAAATGAGGGAATTCCAGAGCAGCTTCAGTAGGAGATAAGTCTAATTAGAACTATCTAGAAAGCAAGATATGTGGATTGGGAGGCACATTCTCAGACGTGACAGCTTGATGAAGGAAGTTCTGGGAAAGAGGCCAAGAGGCAGTAAAGTGAATGTTGCTGAATAACTTGAAGGAAGGGGATCCACACCGTGAAACGAAGAAGAAAGCTGAAGGTCAACAGGTTGGAGGGAGTTTGAGCCAAACGCCTGCCGTTCAGCAGATGACTTAAAGAATACTTCCTGTCCAAGCCAGATGGCAGATGTCCCCCTCTCTGTGTTCACTCATCTAGGCTGCTCGGGGAAGGCGGTGGTGACGGATGTTGTTACCGGGCACCAGCAGACCATCCACACACACAGCGACGTCTTAGCACAGTGCTTTGCAGAGCAGGTGTGTGCACGCCCACACACGCACAAACGCAAAAGCATTACCATTGATGTTTTGTTAAATAAATCTTGAAAACTAGATTCGACGCTTTCGTGACTGCAGGAATTACTCTCTGGTTCTTTCGGTAAACTCACGTAGAAAATCAAATCAAATAATAATAGAATACGACGTTTTGGTTGCAACAAGCAACCATCATCAGGTAAGAATGAATGAGAAAACACAGACATGGGAACAGCATAGGCAGACACAGATGCACAAAGACACCGAGCGAATCTTGTTCCCGTGTCTGTGTTTTATCATTCATTCTTACCTGATGATGGTTGCTTGTGTTGCAACCGAAACGTATTCTATTATTATTTTACGTGACTTTACCGAAAGAACCAAAGAGTAAATCTTGAAAAGTTGCTTTTTAAAAGGAAGACGCAACCCACTAAAGCAATTTCTGATCTCTTGAAGCTAAACACCTGGGCTGGGTGACTTGGTGTGGCTGACGTGACGAGGAGGCTTCAGCAGTTGGCAAAATACATCAAGGTGGCTTTTAGGAGTTCTGTGATGAGCTCAATGTGGCATGCTGCCATACTGTTCAATGTAACATCACAGCAGTGATATCAAAAGAACACAAGAAAGTTTGAATTCGCTCATGTGTGGCTATACCGTTAGCCGTGGGACAACTTGTGTACTGTCTGTGCTCGTCGGCAGGCAGCTGTCTGCGGTTTGTGCACCCTTTTATTGGAATGCATTGACTACATAAAGCACGGAAAATCTGCACACCAGAGTTGATGTGATGGACGAGAGGGTTAATTAATCCATAATGAAGTAAAAAAATATTCTGATCGTGTGACTATAAATGTCATTAAACCCGCCACCAGCTGACACAGCCAATTAGTAAGGTTTGTCGCATAAACAAAACGTGCCAATTAGTTACTACTTCAACACACTGGTGTGTTGTAGAGTAAACCCACAACATTTACAATTCGAGTACGACGTTTTGCTGATGACTACAACCAGCTTCATCAGGCAATGGTGAAGAAGTCTTCCTGTTTTTACCTTTATTATGGACATTGTTGATAGCGAAAGCCTACGTGCTAAACCGAGGTTGAAATAACAACACATTTGGTCTGTTCTAACCAAGAGGTATGTGTGCGTACGCGCCGCCTCTGCCCGTTAGAGCCCACTGCTGTACTGCGGCTGTCGGTCGGGCAAGGTGTGGCGGGCAGACCTGCGGGACAGGACAGGGCCCAACAGCTCGCGACGGCGACGCTCACTACTCCGGCACGAGTCGGCCATCGTGGCCTTGCGCACGCTCGCCGATGAGAACTACCTGCTCGCCAGTGACATGGCCGGCAAGGTGCGCTGTATGTGTGTGTGTATGTTGAACTTGTTTTGCACTGTATGTAGCCAACCGTGCTAATCGGAGGTGCGGGGGCGGGGAAGGACAAAATAAACACAAAAACAGTTCTCAAGAAATTATTTTCTATCTAGATTTTAAAGTGCGTAGCTCCAGTGGCTTCTAATGTCGGAAGGAAGCATGTTCAAGATAGCTGCAGAAGCGCATCTGAAAGCGCACGATGCAGTGAAGCACCACATGTGGAAAGGAAACTCAAAGTTAAAAGGCCATGTTTGGCGATCGAATAGTATCATCAATACATTTGGTATTCGTGCCATTATAGCACGATGCTAGCACGAAGGCGCTATGTTTCACAGACTTAGTCTAGCTTTGTGTAATGGGTGGCTCTGGTAGTTTAGATGGATGAGTGGCTTAAAAGGATGGGTGCCTGAGAAGGGTGGGTAGCTTGGGATAGGTGGCTCAGAGGGATAGGTGGCTGACTTGGCAGCTCAGTGGAATTTGTAGCTTATGGGTTGCGTGGCCGAGGGTAAGGCAAGACACATTGGGCTAGGGAGGCTCATGGATGTTTCGCGCCCCCGTAAACCTCTGCCCTCCCGCCTCACCTGTACATTCAGATTAAACTGTGGGACGTGCGGACGCAGAGAACCGTGCTTGAGTACCATGGGCATCGCAACGAGCACGCCATCCTCCCTCTGCATGTCAGCGACGACGAGAACTTCATCGTGGCCGGTACACACACACCCACGTAGAGCACTTTGTCAAGTCGCATTCTTCAGTGTGGAATAAACAGGAGAGATGTTTACTCATCTAGGGTATTGTTGGATCAGTGACTTGGGGGGATGGGTGGCTAAGATTTTTATTTGCAGTGTTCAAAACATCACAATGCCTGATGGCAAGGGGATGTCGTGTTTTTGTGTAAAACGAAAACGCATGGGAGTGCAGAGCAGTTGTAAAGCTGCCTTGGAGCAGGAAGTTGTCCGTGAGTGCCAGGGTGTGGTGAGATGCACTCCACAGGCATAGTGCCACAGGTCATCATAGTTTTTAGTGTATGAGAATATCCCATTGTTGTGCATTGATTGAACAGCTGGACTGGCTGCTCCAAAATCACCAAGTGGACATTAATCATTTGTGAATGCACTCGCGCCCTTGTCACAATGCCATCAACTTAGGTTCACTTCCAAGCGATGGCAAATGCCAGTAGTGCGTCATAACTAATATTTTCGTAGGCCTACCCTGGATCGGCTCGGCCTGAAATGAGCACCTGGTGCAGTGTGTAAATGTCGGTACTGAGGGGACACAGATCGTCCAGCATGGTGTTGGCCACACCAACCCCTCGTGCTCTGCACCAGCCTTAGAAGTTGCTCGTAAAGAGCACTTGTTCTTACAAATTATGTAGTCTATACTGGAGATGTATTTGAATACATTCAGATTGTGGATGTGCACGTCTGTCATTATAATAGCCGATTCTACTGCTGCTTTGCTGCTGTATTCAGATTGCTGACACCTAATTCTTATTGCTCATACCTTTTGTTACTACTTTTGGGTGGCCGAGATAACTGTTTCCCATGCTGCCGTTGTCCACCGCTGCTATATCTGCGCATCGCTCAGTTGGACAGGACAACTCCACGCGCTTTTGGCGGCTTCGCGACGGCCTCCTCCTCCGCACCATTCCGTCGGCCGTGCCCGTGTCCTGCACCAAAGCCGCCCTGAGCGTGGCACTGATGCCGAGTCTAAGTCGCCCCCATGGGGCGCCTGGTCTGCTCGTGGCCGCCGGCCATCGCCTCTTCCACTATTGCTATTGACATAGCGTCCTGCTGTTGCCACAGGCAGGTTGGTGAGACAGAACTCTCCGTGTTCCAGTGCACCCTCCGTTGAAGCTTTTTGTACGAGGCTGGTGTTTCAAAAACCGCTGCAGAACACAATTCTGTTTTTAAAGACAACCCTGAAAAACTAGTTACGTGCATGTACGTACCTCGTCGGCATAGAAGTCGGGGTGCAGTGGGTTGCGTACTGCACAATGAACTTGGCTACCTGAATATGATCCCAGTCACAGCTAACATTCAAATAATATTCCTGGCCGCAGCGAAATCCCATCGTGTTCAGTCTTCCACATCGTGTCTTGGACAGTGTACCACTTTGGTGTCGGCAAGGGTGATCAAGCGTGTTACATGCTCTCGACACTCTTCCATGACAATCCTCCAGTTCAATGTTTAGGTCCCGCTTGCCTTTCCTTCCAGAACCCTGCCTGCTCTTCTATTTATTAATTTTACTATTCTATTGATTCATATTTTAATAGTTTAAGCCAATTGTTTTATATTTGTAATACAATTAAAGTCCCACTTTTTTGGTATTGGCACAAACCTAATTTCCTCCAATCCTGAAGCTGTTTGTTCCAATTGATACACATCTGTTTATCCAGCTTATCTCATGGACTGTAGGCATATAGTGAAAATACCTGGTGCTTTCCCTTTCTCTCGTTCCTACTTCTTCCTGCAATGGCTCGTCTCCACCCAGGTTTCACTTTAAATCTTTAAAATCCCTAGCTCTTCAGTTTCTTCTGGCAGTTCAGACAAATCAGCTGACAAAACTGTTTCCATCTTTTAAATTCTTCATCCTGTCAGTATCCCTGTTTTTTAAATTAAAGCTTGTCCAATAAAAAAAATGTAGTTTCAACCATTTGCACATTAAAATTAGCTTTGTGTTCCAAGGGAGTTGTGTTTATGCATTGCAAGATTGATTTTTCCCCCATTTTTGGCTTCAGTTTACATTATGAACAAACACCACATCATGTAGACTCACAGCCTGTAAAAAACAATTGTGGAAATATTTACATCACTGTACATAGACAAATTATTTATGTCACATGTTTAGGAAGAAAAGACACGGAAAAACTAGTTTGTAATTTTTTTTTTTATTTTCCACCTGGAAGTGACAAGAACTTGTAAAATATCACTTTTGACAAGTTAAAAGCTTAAAATTGTATAATAGTGCATCTGAGAAGTTTTATTAGAGTTTGTCGCAAATTAAACTCCTTAGTTGATAAGGAAATTAAGTATTCATAACCGAATGCTAGGTTTTTGTGCTCAATGCCAGTACCTTGTATGAACACGGATGGTGTATTCATGAAACCTACTGACAGTGAAGAAAAAAAAATCCTAATTTGATAAACCTACAACTGGGGGGCCACACATCAAGAGACCTGGCAGTGAATCCAGCTTCAATGCTGGACTTGATTTTAAATACATGCCTATCAACCAAAATTTTATTAAAATGCCAAACCCGACAAAAAATTAGCCCAAGATTAAGATAATGGAAATGCAGGCCTGCAGGTTAGTTTATTAAAACATGCTGATGGAGATGTTAAATGTTTAAAGTTTAGCGTTGTCGATAGGCTTTGAGTCGAATTATGATGAATTGGTTTAAACAATGAGCACTAAAATAAGCTAAACATTTTTTTAAAATGACAAACTGTAAAATGAAAAGAGAAAACAAACATCTACACAGGTACATTACTCGTATAAACACACGCCATTGGAATTGCCACAACCCAAATTCAGCACTTGGTGTAACGGCAACGTCGCTTGCCATCCTGTCGCTGTGATTCAACATTCTTCAAAAGTCTGTCGCTCACCTCTCTGCTGCTACACTGATGGATGATATTCTCGGACGAGATGGCAAAACAAATGTATTGACTGGTAACCCAGATTGGTCATAGGGGGCTTATCATTCTGATGAATAAGGAGTGGCAAATTCGAAATCAAAGTTACAAACATCAAAAGGTCTAAAACATATTTAAGCGGTTATTCATTTACATATATTTCACTAATAATTTAAAGTGTGCCTTTTTTGCGCAACGGAACTCACGTGTTAAAGGAAATCTAATTCACTAACAATGCAAGGTGCGTATCATTTACCACTTATTCTGGGGTCTCGCCTTTATAGCATGTAACCATTAACTTATTTTTGTTGTATAGTAATTATAGCTTAACATTTGCATCTTATTGTATTTCACCTGAAAAAGGACAAAGGTATAACACAATGTGTATATATAGTAAGTACATCCTCATGAACGCTAATATAGATACACTACAATTATCTTACAAAATCACAGCCCCCCCCCCCCTCCAAAACAAAAGCAAATGAAAGAGATTGCTTCCAGAACATACAATTTGTTTACAGTTTACCGTGATTGACAATACATCATAATGATGACGTGCTGGACATTGAAGCGGTGCTCGTGATCACACTTTGTGACCATGGGGTCCTTGCAAGATAAAGTCAGAGAAAAATCTGATGATTAGAGTAGAGCACCAAGTGTCGGTTCCACGACGACCCAGTCACACCTCGTACAAGAGCACCAGATTCATGGAACTTCCCACAAACCGATGTTACGTCTTCTGAAAGCTAGTGCTAAGAGTTACTGCAGAACTGCTACATTAAAGTGAATGAAGCAAACCCATTGCTTGTCCCCACATCGTGGCAGCACGACACAAATCAAATATTTGTGCGAGCAAAAATGTGTCTTTGCGTGGTGTTTATATATACCCCACTTAACGGCTGCTGGATACAGGTAGGACTGTCTTAAAACTTCAAATTTGATCATTTGAAGTCTCCCTTCCACGGCTTGTGGTGCTTGGCTTGCCTGGGTTATACACAAGTTGTGAACTACTAAACAGGGAAAATAAATGCAAAGCACACTTATGCCAACGCTTAGTCGCCGCTCGCGGATTGTCGATGACAGGGTCGAATGTTGGGCATGTGCTCTAAAGGCTTTAGATATGTAATCCTTGAGGTTGTTCGAAAGCGACATAACTGCAAAAGGGAGGAGTCGGAGGGAGAGGCGACGCATAAGGACAGGAAGAGCTTAAATTGCAATCGATGCAAGCACCTACATCAACCTCACAACTTGGAAGATACGACGGCTCAGAGAGGCTGTTTGGTTTGGATAAAAATTAGGCAGATCTCTTCACACCGCAGATGATAGAGGTAAAGAAATGCAGTTGGTTAGTGTCAGTGGCAATGTGAATGGTGAGTGATTTTGAAAATGTTTGGCTATCCACTGGGATTATCACCCTCCCAAGTCATCATCCTTGGTCACCCTCTGCTCAACAACTGTTAGCAAATGCAGTTATTACAAAGCCGTCTTCACGAAAGCATCATTGGCTTCCTGCCCACTACAGAGCCAAGTTCCTCCATCACGTCAGTGGTACTTCCCTGAATACGAAGTGACGTCCCTCTTTCTGATTATTTTAAAGTCCCTGCAATTAAGCCGAGCTGCAGTTCTACCTTTTGTGCAACTGCGGTCCTCTTTAGCAAGCGATTTATGGCCTGCAATAGGAAGGAAGCAAAGCCATGGTCCTCATAAGAAAGATGATAATCTCCCAAATAAACCAGCCATGCAATTATTCCACCACAACTCTAAAACAACTAATGCATCCCCAATCAGTTAACTCCCAAACCAACCATGTGCCACCTAATTCGCAGACTCTAACTCCCCTGATTGAATCCATCTGTATTGGCTTCCCTTATTTATACACGGGGGAAACACACAAGTCTTACGGGGTATTGGAAACCAAACACGGGGTTCCCTGCAGTGATTCTTGAATCGCATTAACACAGAAAAAGTCACCGCACAACCATTCTCACTACACATCCAGACTTCACCACTTGGGGAGGGGGATCAACCAAACATCGCCCCTTGCTTCCGAGAGTTACAAGAATGTGAATGGGCAAGGGGAGGAGAAGGAGGAAGGCAGAAGTCAAGAGGTTTAGAGTCAAAGGATCGTGGAGTAACAGGAGATGGTGGCTGTCTCAGAGCTCCCCCTTGCACTTGCTGCAGGTGTTGCACACCCGCACGGGATGGTCCCACCCACGCGACGGCACTGGCCGGCGCGCTGTCGAGCACTCGTTGCAGAAGCCCTTGCCGCAGGCGCGGCAGTGGTGCTTGGCGAGCTTCCCTGAGGTCATGTCCTTGTTGCAATCCTGGCAGGATGCGATCTCGTGGTCGGGGACCCAGTAGGTTGGCCGCGCCACGTCCTTCACCAGGCCTGCAGGGGAAGCAAGCAAGTACGGCCACGGTCGGGAAATAATGGCTGTGCAAAAACATCACGTCGCTGTACCCCAATTGCAGTGATGGCGCTCGGGCATAAGAACACGAAGCAAAGGTGGAGGCTCCCAAGTAGCTCCAGGGCCCCCAAACTCGAACGAAATGTCATCCTAAATTTAAATCCTAATGATTATAAAGCATCTAATTAATTGCTCTCATCCCTATCTTGTGTATTCCTCATTTAATGTCGTGTTTGTGTCTTGCCTACATCCATCTATTTTCTTATCTCCCAGAACTTAAATATTTTTGTCTGTATTTACATTATATTATTACCGTTCTATCTATTGTCTACATCTCTGTCACCTCACAAGGAATTTATACAAGAACACCGTTTCATACCCAGGCAATGCCTTTATTGGGCAATATTAACAATGCCAGAGTACTAATCTTTTCACAACATCGCAATATGCATCTCGATCCTGGAGCGGTGTCTCCCAGTGTTTGAGCACAGCGATGCAGGTTGGCAAGGGAGTATATGACAATAATTAATTATTTACACAGAAGAGCCATGCTTGAGTAGTCTGCAGACTCATATTCAGGAGAGTCCTGCTACATTGGGATGCCTAGCACACAACAACTTCATTGTGTGTGCTTTTGCCAGGGTGGCAGGGTACACGTGGGATACCAGTGGGGGTGCGTGTTTTGGTGCTCACCCAGTGGGTAGTTAAAGGTGGTGGCCACGGCTCCCAGTGTGTTCTGCACAACCTCGCCAACCTTCCGCACCATCACCTTGCCCGACTCATCTTCCTCGCCCCCCTCCGCCTGTTGTTTTTGTTCTGAGCAGACCGGGTTTGTTACCACAGCACATGCACACACAAATTAATACAAAATACAAGGGAACCTAGTAGTCAGCCAGGCTATCAACTCCAATTAGCATGGTTGGCTACATAAGGTGCGAAAGAAGTTCAACAGACATATCAGGGAAAATGTTACTAACAAGCACATTAAATAGCTAGTTTTGAACTGTAATAGTCATTAGAACCATGCCCAGTGCCTCTGTTCTGTACAAAAGGCTGGCAATATATTTATTGAGGTCTCCGTTACAACTCTGCTGGACATGTATGTATAGGCATGCTGTCGTGGTGTAATGAACAGCACACTGGAGGACACCAGTTCGATTTGATCTTCCAGCAAGGCAGTTGAAATGATAAAGTTTCTTAAATCTTTACACCTCTGCCCAAAATTATACTTTGGAATACTACTGAACATCTGTGAAAAATAGCTTTATAGCTCATCGAATTCCTGCAGTATAAATATTCTGAGTCGATCGGCAGGTCGTATGTGGTGTACAGTGGACGTACTCCCTCTTCCAAGACGTTTGGCCAGCATGGATGAGTTTGCCAAATGCCCCCCACAGGGTCTCTCTATAGCTCCCTCGAGCATAGGTCCTTCCGTTGGCAACTGCAAGGGCTGCTGCATGCCTTAAGATATATCATCACAAGTGGACAAAACCTGATTTTTAATCCAGGATCACAGTGCTTCTGGCTCACAGTGCTCCAACACATTGCCATCATGAAGAGCCTCATCCCACCCAGCCACTTCAGCCAAGCACGCGGACCATTGTTCTATACATGGAATTGTGCAGGTCAGATCAGATTCGACTGCTGGCACAAAATACGGAGGGGGGCACCAGGGTGTTTTTTTTTTTAATTTCTTATTCATAACGCAGGCAAGCTGTGCTAGCAAAGTGGCTTGACCGTGGGGGCTTCCCTGGCAGCTCGGCTCTCACCTTGGGGCCGGGCGAGTTGGAAGCAGGCATCGCACACACGCACGGGGTTCGGCCCCCACCCTCTCTCGGGCACGGGCCGCGAGCGGGACGAGCAGGCGCCACAGAAGCCCTCCCCACACGCCCGGCAGTGATGCTTCGTGTCCTTCTCCTCGAATTGCTTATTGCAATTGTGGCACGCCTGTGTGTGATACGCCGCCACCAAGCGAGGATTTTCGTCGTCAAGAATCGTGCCGCGGAGGGTTATCGATAACACACATTCACTATAATTACATCTACAGAACTGCTCGTTTCCAATGTAGTACTAAGCCTACTATTTTTGTGCCGCTGTGTATGTTTCCAGATTCCATCATTGGCATAATCAACATTTATGTCGATCACCTTTCTGAAAGGGAGAAAACATTGGAGTCAAAAAGTTTGTGGGCGTCTCTAAGCCATACCTAAATATTCCTGGTGCGTCTAGCCAGTTGGCCTTGTCACACCTATGGAGATGGGAACGGGCCTGTCTGCTCTGGAGGTACGGAGTGCTGCTAGTGGCCAACAAGAGCTGGAAGGCGCACGACTCATTGCAGATCTGGTGCGATAGCAGTAGAGGTTTCCGGACACTCACAACATCTCGTGGCTGTGCCCCCACCCTCTAAACCTCACCACCCCGGAGAACGCAGAGTCGACTGTCGGTGGCGTAACTACATTGTTAGCTCAGGTGGTGCGGCAATCGGTCAGGTGGGGCCCCAATATTTGATTTGTCACTCATGGTGGTTGTCAAGGGGGCCCCAACTCGTAGCTTTGGCCCCCAAGCTCGTTACGCTGTCGACTGTACACAGCGTGTGTGTGTGGGCACGTACGATGACGACCGCGTTGGGCCTCCAGTAGGCCGGCGCAATCTGGTCCGTGAGCCAGTCGGAGACGGCGCGCGCCGGGCCCGAGCTAATGTCCGACACCGACTGCGCCACCAGGTTGACGCCGTCCAGCAGCCGCTGCGCTGCGTTGTGGTTCTCCCGGATGAAGCCGTTCGCCTGTAAAGGAGTAGTGATGCCGTGACAATAGACAGTGGCAGGGGTCTTGATAACTACACCACCTAGAGCTCATTCAGTATGTCGGCATCACCTACTGGAGTTCAATCAATTTTTTTTATTGCAAATCAACGCGAGCCCGGTACAGTACGCCAATCGCTTTATTGTCAAGTACAGATATATAAATAACTATTTTTTTTACCTATGTAATGGGTTCGATTGAGGTGCACACTCAACTTGGAGGCAACACTTAATGCATACCAACCAACAAAACGTTATACACAGGGTGGTGACCACCATTCCTAATCTCACTAACACTCGGGGAGGGAATACTACATAACGTGACTAGGGCAGGTTAACGGGCTGCCTGGTCACGAAGGTCGGAGCCTGGAGGAGCGCTGATGGCGTCTTCATCCCGGGGTCGAACAGCCCCTCTCTCTGTTCACACCCCGCTTATAACTCCTGTGGTGTGGCCGGCTCCGCCCCAGGCCACGCCCCCCTTCTCGATCCTTCGGGAAGGTCCGGGCCCCCAACCACGTGACCCCCAAGCTCCCCCAGGGGTCCCTAGCCCCCCTTTATCCAGTCACGTGTCCTGTTGGGTTCACGCAGAGTGTCACGGCCTAACACAACCCCCGTGACACCTGCCTACAGTACCCATATCGAGCCAACAGTAGTGACGTCATATGTCCCTACGCTCGTGCAGTCCCGACACAGTAGTGACATATGTCACTACACTTATATTGCCTCAGGTACATTACAGTGTCATTTTAAAGTAAATGTCTTATTTTACATGTCCTGAATGTAAGGCATTCGTGTCAATTTAATTTTATGTCAAGCGATCCTGAGATGTATATTCTTGGTTCTTTCGGTAAAGTCACGTAGAAGGGAAACAATAAAATAATAAAAATATTTTTATTATTTTATCATGTAAAAGGGAAACAATAAAATAATAAAAAGATTTTTATTATAATAAAAATATTTTTTTATTCTTTTATTTATTATAATAAAAATATTTTTATTTTATTGTTTCCCTTCTACGTGACTTTACCGAAAGAACCAAGAATATGAATCCCTGCAGTCACGAAAGCTTTAAATCAAAAGATCCTGAGATGATTTTATTGATAACTAGCAGGAAGTACCCGGCGTTGCCCGGGGGAAAATATATTTCAAAACTTCTGTGGTGAGGCCTAGTCCTGTGCAGAGTCCCTGGCCTCGCCTAGATTGCCCAGCTGGCCGAGGTGGCACCTTGGCAGGCTGGGGCTGGGCTGCTACACCGCCCCCCCCCCCCCCACCGCCTGCTCTACAATAGTAACTACAAACTCTACAGTAGTATCTACCGACCCTACAGTAGTAACTGCACACATTGGGGCGTATTTTTTTTTGCATTTTTAACACGAATGATAATTTTTCCCCGCTCCCACCGATTGTGTGTGTACGTTGCTATGGGAACCACATGTCAGCGTTTCTCGCATGCGCAGATGCGGGCTTTGGCACGCGCTCAGCGTAGTAATACAAAAATTAATGTTAATAAATAGTTAATTTAATTACTTTAAAGTTGACATGTGAAATACGAATAGTGCGTGGTATATGGGTACTTTGTAGAAACGAAAACCCCACAGTTTGTGAGTTAAAAGCGTCGCAAGTTGCGTACACAGACAAAGACAGACAGACAAAAAAATACGTTTATAGGTAAAGATAAGTGCGCTATATAAATATTCATGGATTGATACGGATTATCGTCTCTTTATTTGTTAACCATGATCATCTATGTCAGCGCATAACACATTTGTATTCTTCTACAGTTTTGTGGTGAATGGGTCCCTAGCTTAAGTAGACGGCCCTTGGAAATGACATGGCAATACAGCTGTATTTGTTGAACAGGCCTGACTCTGCTGATGAGCCCCAGAAAAAAAATTGGTCCAAAGGTGTGCCTGATTAAACAAATGCTGCAGTTCACCACCGTTCCGTAAGGCCAACAGGCTAAGTGACAAATGATTAAATATTTTCAAGGTGTCATTGCTCTGCAATGAAGCGAGATGCTCTTAAGTAAACACTCTAATTCCTGATCTTATTGCACATTAAAAGCAGAGCTGTGGACGTGCTCAGCAGGACGTACCCCGGGCCACACGTGTTTCAGCTCCGTACGGACGACCGTGTCCTCGGGATCCTGGTTGCCGTACCAGTACTGGCGGCTCCGGTAGATCACGCCGCAGTTGGGACACTCCAGCACGTAGCTGCGGGGGACACGGCGAGTGGACGGTGAACGAGGGGCACCGATCAACACTGTGAGGAGGCACAGCGAACCTGGGTGCATGCCCTTGTCTGTAACAAGGCAGACGTGTAGGCCAGTTTGCCAGGTTTCTCCTGCGGGCTTTATAATGCACCGTACGATGCCTTGGTTTGATAACATTAAAATGAAAAAACGTGTACACTAGGGGTGTAACAATCCATCGATTAATTATCCAATTCTTATGCTCACAATACAGATTAAATCATGAGTGTGAGACATTTTTTCTTTGTATAAGTTGAAAGTGATAAGTTCACGTGGTCTCTTCTGAGAATCATAATATTTATTTAGACTGGAGGAATCCGATGAGCCATGCAGCTCTATTTCACAGACGTCCAGGAGCTGCAATGTAAAATAAATAAACCTTCCATGGAATTATGGCCCTAAATCTTGATAAGTCACTCAGTCGCCAGGGGAAATTTGTTCCAGGCAAAATTCACACATGCACACAACCATATGCCAGGGATGGCAAAACCATGCTGCTTTCGGATAGTTCACTTGCGGTTCGATTGAGATGCAGCTAATTTATTTTTATGTATGTCTGCGGAAGTGGGAGTGGCATGGGGCACAAGTCCCTGGCAGTGGAGCCAGACATGAATGCTCCCAGATTTTTCTAGATTTAAAAATTCAAAGCAACCAGTGTAACCAACTAACGTGACCTGCTGCTCGGTGCACGTTTGTCTCATGGATCTTGGCCACGTGAAGATGTTGGAATGCGACCCGTAGGGTACAGAATTTGGCCACTCCTGACATACACACTGCAGCACCTTGAGATAGTCACGAGTTCCTGTGTTGGAGGAAAAGCAAAATAGGCAGAGAAGTCAACACATCTGGCCTTTGAAGCTTTGGGTGTTTCCACTAAACTCTTAAGAATTTTAAGTGACTTACTGTGACATAGGTGCCTTGTGACTCATGCCTCATACATAGCAGTTATCGAGCTATGTATTGCTAACTTAATGAAATATCAGAGCTACCTTGTCAGTTATAAAAAGCTAAGAGGAATAAGCCTGACGAATACTCGAATGAGTGACCTCTATGCACAAACAGATTGTTGTAGGGCCTGGCAGTTAAGCAAAATGTATTGCTGTACTGTACTTACATGCCTCCACATTTATGCTCCCCTGCCTTCACCAACTCGCACTGACCAGTGGTGAAGTTTGGACAAGTAAGGCCAAGTAACCCTCACCACCCGCACAGGGGAGGGGATGCCCTCATCCAGCAGCGGACTGACACAAAGGGTGTGCACGTACGACCATGGCACTGTCAAGCGGGAGTGCGTTTTCCGCTTTTTGCAGAGGTTTGCGGATTGAGACCACCGGCACCCTGGGTCAATAAGGTGGGTGTATGAACCATAAATACATGCCGTTTGTATCACAGTGGAGGTAAAAAAAATATCCAGTAATGTTATTTGAAGAAAAACACTTAAAAAAACACATTTTTATTTTACCAGGTAAGGACCACTGAGCTATGTAGCTCTTTTTCAGAAGCGATCTGGCCACAAATGATAGCTCAGTGAAATGGTTTATCATGTGGAAATTTACAGCAGCCAAATACTCTAAAAGCATGTTTATTAATGTTGAGGGGAAAACCAGAGGACCTGGAGAAAAATCCACACGACCACGGGGAGAGAGAGACACGCAAACTCCGATTGTGCAGGCATCAGGGTCGGCATCGAACCCACAACCTCTTGCATACTAGGCGAGGAAGTTAACATCTCGCCACCGTGATGGGTGCTGGCATCATTATCCAAATTTGCCAAATTAGTGTAAACTGGGTAATTTCACGCCCAAGTTGAAAAATTACCAGAAAATTACTTAATTGGAACAATGAACTGCAACATTGCCCCCCCCCCTCCTTACCAGCAGACTTGATGTCCACTTGCAGGACAGTGCTGTGTTCACCTTGTGCGACATAGTGCTGAGCTGACATTAGGGGGTCTCCTAAGCTAAGAAAACTGCGCTCCGAAGATATTTTTTTACGTTATGAGCGCAGTATAAATGCTAGCGTTAGTATTATTACTCTCATTATTAAAAGTGCTACGTAATTACTAGAATAGTGGAATGATGGAATGGCGCTGTGAGCAGGACTGCCACTGCCAGTACTCACCCAGACCAGGCGTACTTTGCGAGGCCGAACCACGGCGATTCATTTGAAGCCGATGTCTTGGGGACCACAATGACCTCCTTCCCATTCTCATAACAATGCTGTGGAACACAGATTACAGCAGCAACCATGAGCGATTAGCGCATAAGAAGAGTACAATGGCTAGACACAGCCACGCACAACAAATGTCAATCAGCCCACAGAGTCTGTTATGGTGCAGCCCTGGCTTGCGCCACCGCTGGCAAAACAGCCTCCAACTTGGGGGAGCTCTGGAGGGATATCTGGTCTCCTCTGCCACGGTTACCAGACGTCGTGTTGCAAAAGGTGGGCAACACACGACCTGCTAATCGACTGGCTTGCAGGTCCAATGTGCGAACCATTACACCACGGCAGCATCCACATACATATATGTAAGTCCAGCAGAGTTGGAGAGGATACCTTTACACATGTGTCTTTAATGTTTTTCATGATGTATTACATTTGGTGTTTCATTAATCGCTGTGTTACAAAACGTTATGACCTCTCTGCATTTATGGTCTCTACTCTAAATACCGAATGATCAAATAAACTTAATATTACTCTGGTTTTTTCGGTAAAGTCACGTAGGTAAAATAAAATAAATGAAAACTAAATTACATCACGACGTTTGGGAGGCAACACAAGCTTCCGTCTTCAGGTGGAACAGTCACAGCAGAATAGCTGTATCAAGTGCAGAGCTCTGAGACAACCGAGATTATATACAGGTTAAGGGGGGGGGGAGGAGCCAAGAAGGGACGTGGGTGGGGGGGGCTGAGTTAAGCCGCCTTTTGTTATGTTGCAGGGGGTTCCGGGGGGAGAGATACACGAGTACATACAACCCACTGAGAGCAATGGAAGTGGCTGTACAATTATAAAGCAGCTAAAGTTTGACTTGGTTTATAACATCTTTCCAATGGTTGCTCAATTTGAAACCATCCTCTCGGTTGAAGTTGTGTCTGTGTTTGTATATCTGGATGGCTTCATGGACAAATCTTTGGTAATAACCGGGAGGTTTGTAGAGCACTTTGGTGTCGGAGAAAACAATGTCATGAGAACACGCTGTTTTTAAACAATGATCAGCCACGGCCAAAGAATTAGTTCTGCCGTGTTTCAAATCTGATTTGTGCTCGCGAATTCGGTCAGAAATATGTCGTTTCGTCTTCCCGATATAGCAGTCACCGCAGGTACAACTCAATTTGTAAACACCGGGGTACTGCAAGTCAGGAATGACATCCTTTACGGATGGGATCAGATCACGGATTTTGTGTACTGTATTGAACCAGACCTGGATCTTGTGTTTGTTTAGAATTTTGGAAATATTTTTGGTAACGCCTGCTATGTATGGTAACGTGATGATTTTGATCGGAGTATCAGGTGGTTGTTTCTGTATGGTGGGAGAGACAGTTTGGCGGATAGTACGGTCAGAGTATCCGTTCATCTTGAGGGCCAGATGTACATGTTTTAATTCACTGGCCAGGTGGTGTTGGTCAGAAATGCAATGAGCCCTATGGTATAATGTTTGATGAGATAATTCTTTTGAGCTGGGTGGTGGTGGGAATCAGGCTTCAAGTAGGAGTCTGTGTGGGTGGACTTCCTGTAAACAGAATGTCCCAAAGAGCCATCAGTCCTCCTCTCAAACAGAACATCCAAGAATGGCAGCTTGCCATCTTTCTCCACTTCCATGGTGAATTTGATGGATGGGTGTCTGGAATTGATGTGGTCTAGGAAATGGTTCAATGCTGGGAGGCCATGTGGCCAAATGACGAAAGTGTCATACACACATCTCTACCATAGGGAAGGACGAAGGGTGGATGTCTGGATAGCGTCTGATTCAAATTTCTCCATGAAAACATTGGCTATCACTGGTGACAAGGGGGAACCCATAGGGGTACCCTCATTTTGTTTGTAGAAGGTACCATTCCAGGTAAAGTAAGTGTTGGTGTGGCAGTGCCTAACTAGCGCAGGAACATCAGGGTTCAGGCCATGTTGGACCAAATCTTCAATTATTGTTATGGTATGAGGCACTGGGACCTTGGTGAACAGAGAGACCACATCAAAGCTGACAAGGATATCGTCAAGAAGACACTACAATGTCCTTGACCATAGAAACCAATTGGGTTGAGTTAAGTACTGCTGAGGTAGTCTTGCCAGTGAAGGGAAGCAGGGTGTCCGATAAAAAACGGGCTAGCTTGAAACACGGCAGAACGAATTATTCGGCCGTGGCTGATCATTGTTTCAACACAGCGGGTTCTCATGACATTGTTTTCTCCGACACCAAAGTTCTCTGCAAACCTCCCGGTTATTACCAAAGATTTGTCCATGAAGCCATCCAGATATACAAACACAGACACAACTTCAACCGAGAGGATGGTTTCAAATTGGGCAACCATTGGAAAGATGTTATAAACCAAGTCAAACTTTAGCTGCTATATAATTGTACAGCCATTGCCATTGCTTTCAGTGGGTTGTATGTACTCGTGTATCTCTCCCCCCGAACCCCCTGCAGCATAACAAAAGGCGGCTTAACTCAGCCCTCCCCCCCACCCAGGTCCCTTCTTGGCTCCTCCCCCCCCCTTAACCTGTATATAATCTCGGTTGTCTCAGAGCTCTCCACTTTATACAGCTATTCTGCTGTGACTGTTCCACTTGAAGACGGAAGCTTGTGTTGCCTCCAAAACGTCGTGATTTAATTTAGTTCTTTTCATTTATTTTATTTTACCTATGTGACTTTACCGAAAAAAAAACAAAGAGGATGAATCCTTGCAGTCATGAAAGCTTCAAATCTAGAATGAAACTTAATATTACACGAAAGAAAATAAACAGTTAAAGCTTATCTGATACCCAACGATAAAACATGAACACATCAAGGAATGTCACAATCGTCTGTGTGTACACGAAAGGCAAAGCTGTTGCTGCATCCAGGCACCCCTATAAAGCAATGTACGAGTTTAAAACCTGGCCAAGCTCAAGCAAGCCTCACTGTGGCTACAATAAGCAACGCCTGGTGGGAATCCAATATCGGCCGCCCCAAAGAGACAACTTCCACCACAGGAATGAGTAATTTCCACAACTGGCTCAGAACATTGTCCAGTGCTCTTTAGAGCGAGTGAGGGGGGTCACTGACTTTTGACCACAGTATTTGTGGTGCAACTCGCTGGCTCAAAAATTATCTTGAAGCGACTCCAACAAAGCTGACAATCCGACGAGTGTTCCGTGTAATGTTACCATGCGTTGGTTACTGTGTGTTCGGTATCATGTTTTTTTGTGTACGTGGGAGTTAAAACTTGTACATGAATCATATTAATGCAAGTAAATAATCAGGAAAATCGATGACTTGTCACAATTCGAGATCACAATTTGATACGAAAATTAATGACCGTCTTTTTTGTATTGTATTGTCCCTCTCTTATGTTTTGTGTTGCTTATTCCAATAGCCTAAATATAGACTAGGATGGACATTTGTATACACCATTGACAAGGCGAGTGGTAGCCCAGCTGTTTGGGCCATTCCACGATGAACCCACAGATCCGTGATTCGATTCCCGACCGCAGCCGGCATCACATCACCGGCGAATGATATCTGACCTGGTCCTGCGTGACCCCCTTCATCAACCACCACGACTGATACAGGGTGGGGAGGGCTTTCATCCAGTAGTGGATTGACAAAAGTCTGTAAATTACAATGAAAAGTTGTTTTTTAATCATAACCGATTCTGAGGCACACAATTTGCTTAATGCGTGGATAGGGTATAAGTGGATTTTAATCGATGAATCCCTTTTATTATTATAGTTCTACAACTGTTCTTACATCCATTTTCTCATGACACAGACACCCATCCACAAGCAAATCAGATCCGGCATCCCTCTTCGCTTGCAGTCCTAGCCAGAGCAGCAGCCATGTGGTCCGCAACTGCTCTACTACCCAAACACCACCGCCTCTCATGGCATCAGTGTGACATGCAGTTTTGTTCATCGGAGACCGCCCCAGGCCAAAAAGTCACGCAAACGCTGACTCAACAAACAGGTGCTGCACCTGGCACTCAACTGAGCACAGTGTAATGCATGACACCGCTACATTGACAAGGCCATCGCGGACTTTATGACCTGCTGATTGCGCACTTTACAAAGGTCACGCGCCACTGCACTGGCGTGCGCTGCTCGCTGGAAGTCAACGGTCTAAATTCACGGGAAGTCGTGATGAAATAGAGCCGGGCGGCACAGTGGTGAAAGCACTCATCTCACTGCTCTCATTCGGTTCTGGAAGCTCCCAGCACATGGAGTGACACTTTGACATCCTAGGGAATACGCGGTACAACCCAAAAAAAACCTACCATCCCCCATCCACACCGTACCAGATTATAGGCATGCGCAACCACTGCCCGGTAGCACAATGATCTCGGAGCAATCCACAAACTCCACGCCCGAGTCACAAGAGTTGGAGGCGTACACAACAGAACCCAGAGAAAATCCAACAACGCAGCCTGAACCTGGTCTCCTGGAGCAGCGTCTACAGCCATCGATTCGTGCTCGTTTCTGGAACACTGGGGTATGAGCGTGTATGGAGTCGTGTGCATATGGGGAGCGGTAGTGTAGCTGTTAGCGCGATGCACGACAAATCTGGTGAACCGGGTTCGATTCCTGCACATGGTCAACACCAGTGATGATTATCAAAACCGGTCCTGGGGCTACCCGAGGTCGACTCAGCCTCAAATGAATACCTGGTGCGATGTGTAAACATCGCCACTAGGGAGACAAAGGCGATCAGGCGTGGTGCTGGCCACCCACTTGCCTCGTGTGCCATGTTGGGTCTTTCGTAGGTTCTAACTAAAACAACACTTGACCCAAGAGCCTGTGTAGGCTACAGGGAGGGATCTTTGTGTAGGTGTGGGAACCTCACCTTGCAGGTGAACACGCGATTGTCGCACTGGTAGTTGTACTTGCAGCGTCCCTCTGCCAGGTGCTGGACCCCGTCCTTGTGGTGGTTCATGCTGTTACGGCAGCGAAGCCTGCATGGGTGGCAGCAACAAGCGGGCGGGGGGGGACGGCAAAATGGGATGTAATTTACAATTATGAATATGTAATACAGACAAGCCCTGTTATGGTAACAGTATTTCACGACATTTTGTCAAAGTACTGCTGGATGAGGAGCTCCATGCCACTTCACCACACTGGTTAATGAGGGTTGGTGTAGGCGGTAAGCAAAGACACCACAGCATAACTTTGGACTTGTCTGCACTGCCCTCTGCTGACAACATACCACCACAGCAGCGGCCCACAACAGTTATTTCATAGATGTTGGCCCATCCAAGCACTGTCCATGCTCGAACCTGCTTAGCTTCCGAGACCTGACGGTATCAGGTGCATTCTGGGTGATTTGGTCACAGGCTGTTTGTGTACGATTTGCATCAATCGTAATTAATCGATGCTCACATACACGTATAATGACCTTAAAAATCGACTGACGAATCGATGCGTCGTTACGTGCTTAACAACAAGACGCAATAAGCCAGTGATGAAAATTACACATTCTTATGGCGGAGGGCAGTCTCTCCGCTGATGAAGAGATTAGTTGGTAGTTAAGGACGGAACACAAACCCGCAGCTCAGGCAGGACGCGGAGCAGGTGAAGTACTCGTCTGGGAAGAAGGAGCTGCGAGCCATGTCGCCAACAGGAATCTCTCCGCTGAATCGCTCGCTCAGCGCCTGCACCCACAACAGGCGACCGCACGCCGTTACCAAGGGGACGCAGCCTCTGTACGTCACAGGTCGACTTTGAGTATTTCCTAGCTTCCCAAAGGTCAACAGTGAGAATCTCTCAGTACCCTGTGGGAGACATAAATATTCTTGCTCCAAACAGAATACACTAAGAATCTTCTAGCTCCTCACAGGCAACATTCGATAGTTCCTTGCTCCCAACAAGCCACATTGAGGGTCTCCTAGTTCCTCATGGGTAACATTGGATACCTCTCCTAGCTACTGAGAATCTCCAAGTTCACCACGGGTCACACTGGGAATTCTAGCTAACTGCGGGCTGAGAGGGTCACACGCACGCACGCCAAGCCGTGCCGCTCACCTCCAGGGCCTTGAAGATGACACCCGGGGTGCGCGAGGCGCGATTGCTGTTGCTCTTGAGGCGGTACTGGATGACCCTCAACAGTCCGCCAAAGTCCGTCGGGGGGTTGAAGGTACGCGTGCCCACGTACTCCACCGTGCTGAACGCCTCCGGCGTGCACTTCAGCTCTTTGAAGTTGCGCTGCAGCAAGACCTCAGGCGTCTGGCCTTCCCCTGTGCAGACGAACAAACGAATGTCGTGCCATTGAGTGAAAAAGCGGCATGCGCACGTCACAAGTCTACTTTCGTTCGACTTTCGTTTCAAGAGGTTGTGAGGTGGCCGGAAATGGGAGTACAGTATACAGTGAGGGAAAAAAGTATTTGATCCCCTGCTGACTTTGTACGTTTGCCCACTGACAAAGAAATTATCAGTCTATAATTTTAATGGTAGGTTTATTTTAACAGTGAGAGACAGAATAACAACAAAAAAATCCAGAAAAACGCATGTCAAAAATGTTATAAATTGATTTGCATTTTAATGAGGAAAATAAGTATTTGACCCCCTCTCAATCAGAAAGATTTCTGGCTCCCAGGTGTCTTTTATACAGGTAACAAGCTAAGATTAGGAGCACACTCTTAAAGGGAGTGCTCCTAATCTCAGTTTGTTACCTTATAAAAGGCACCTGTCCACAGAAGCAATCAATCAGATTCCAAACTCTCCACCATGGCCAAGACCAAAGAGCTCTCCAAGGATGTCAAGGACAAGATTGTAGACCTACACAAGGCTGGAATGGGCTACAAGACTATTGCCAAGCAGCTTGGTGAGAAGGTGACAACAGTTGGTGCGATAATTCGCATATGGAAGAAACACAAAAGAACTGTCAATCTCCCTCGGCCTGGGGCTCCATGCAAGATCTCACCTCGTGGAGTTGCAATGATCATGAGAACGGTGAGGAATCAGCCCAGAACTACACGGGAGGATCTTGTCAATGATCTCAAGGCAGCTGGGACCATAGTCACCAAGAAAACAATTGGTAACACACTACGCCGTGAAGGACTGAAATCCTGCAGCGCCCGCAAGGTCCCCCCTGCTCAAGAAAGCACATATCCAACCCCGTCTGAAGTTTGCCAATGAACATCTGAATGATTCAGAGGACAACTGGGTGAAAGTGTTGTGGTCAGATGAGACCAAAATGGAGCTCTTTGGCATCAACTCAACTCGCCGTGTTTGGAGGAGGAGGAATGCTGCCTATGACCCCAAGAACACCATCCCCACTGTCAAACATGGAGGTGAAAACATTATGCTTTGGGGGTGTTTTTCTGCTAAGGGGACAGGACAACTTCATCGCATCAAAGGGACGATGGATGGGGCCATGTACCGTCAAATCTTGGGTGAGAACCTCCTTCCCTCAGCCAGGGCATTGAAAATGGGTCGTGGATGGGTATTCCAGCATGACAATGACCCCAAAACACACGGCCAAGGCAACAAAGGAGTGGCTCAAGAAGAAGCACATTAAGGTCCTGGAATGGCCTAACCAGTCTCCAGACCTTAATCCCATAGAAAATCTGTGGAGGGAGCTGAAAGTTCGAGTTGCCAAATGTCAGCCTCGAAACCTTAATGACTTGGAGAAGATCTGCAAAGAGGAGTGAGACAAAATCCCTCCTGAGATGTGTGCAAACCTAGTGGCCAACTACAAGAAACGTCTGACCTCTGTGATTGCCAACAAGGGTTTTGCCACCAAGTACTAAGTCATGTTTTGCAGAGGGGTCAAATACTTATTTCCCTCATTAAAATGCAAATCAATTTATAACATTTTTGACATGCGCTTTTCTGGATTTTTGTTGTTGTTATTCTGTCTCTCACTGTTCAAATAAACCTACCATTAAAATGATAGACTGATCATTTCTTTGTCAGTGGGCAAACGTACAAAATCAGCAGGGGATCAAATACTTTTTTCCTTCACTGAATGTGTTGAAAAATCCATTTGCCTTGAATTTTTCGAGAATCATACTCACGTATTTGATCTTTGTGCTCACAATACACATTCTGAACAATGCACGCAAGATTTACGATCTTCAACTTATGAAAATAACAATCAAATGATATGGTAGTATTTATTACGCTTTGGCTAATGTTACAAACAAAACTGTAAAAAAACTGAAACAAATTATTCTTAAATTAAATCGCGACACCAATTTATGACCAAGAAATCGTTACACGCCTGGTGCTTCAGCAGTGCAGCAAGGTTGGATGGGCCCTGAAGCACGGAATAAAATCTGTGGCTCCCTTTCCAATGTTGCCCCTTATTCATAGGCCGGCAGCTGGGCCTCTCTGGCCCGTGAGCCCCAGTGCAGTTGCAGTGCCATTGCACTGCCTGCACGCTCAATAGATTAACGCATAGTAGTAGGCTTTCGTGACCAATATTATCCAATAAAAACATTTTTTTTGGGTTAGATCGCGTAAATATTCATGTGTTGTTAAACCCGGCACCACCCAACACAGCCAATTAGTAAGCTTTGTCATGTAAACTAAACGTGTCAATTAGTAACTAGTTCAGCACACCCATGTGTTGGAGAGTAAACCCAATAATAAATGTTGTGGTCTTACTCTCCAACACACCGGTGTGCGATCAACAAACAAAGTCTGACCGCGACCCAACTCGCACAAATCACCATGGCACTCACCCTGCCCCAGCAAGTTGGTGTGCTGGGTCTCGTGGAAGATGATGATGGCAGGCCCCAGCACGGAAAGGGGGCCCTCCATGCCGCAGCGGGCCGACGTGGCGCGCAGCTCGCCGGTAAAGTGCTTGAGGTACGCCTCCGACGCGTTTCCGAGGAACTTGAAGAGGTCGCTGTGCAGTCGCTCGGCGCGTGTGCGATACAGCACCACGTCCGACACGGCCATCACCTGGCGCGTGCGTCATCGAGTGAGAAGCGATTCTCCGCACGCTCGCTCCAGTGCGGTCCCGCGTGTGGCTGCTCTGCTCATGATCATGGCTTTGGCCTCTGTGTCGCTTCACGTCCGGCCCTTCATCTGGTCTGCCCAATCGTGGTGGCTCGAGGGCAAGAGTGGGAAACCATTTCCTTACTGAGGGCCAAATTTCTTTGGTGGGCCACACATTAACATACACTCTCCTGTAACTGCGTGCTGAATTTATAAACACAGGTGTTGCCAGATCGAATATATTTTCCTCTGGTATCGGATCAGTGCAGCCAACATGCTGCAGTGACAGATAACTATTGTTTCAAAATGCTAGTCCTCATGTGGCCATGGCCGTATGAAATAAATTCGCAGGCCAGTTATAATCTGTTCTATGGGGGCTGGCCCCTACCATCTGAATGTAAAATTTCTACTGTGCTTGGCTGAGAGCCTCTGAAATGAGAATGGATATGCTTTGACCATTACTTTATATTATTTGGTTTATTCATCTACAGCTGAAATCGTGGGTCTTACAAGGGGGTATTACAGGCATGCTCAGACTCAAAATTATCACTTTATGTTTCACTATCCAAGTCGTAGGGCCATATTCACGTGACAACGAATGCTCCTTGTTGTCTGTCTTATGGTGATTTCTCCATTAACACCAATGGGGGTCATGTAAAGTCAATGTATCTTTGGCTGTTTCATTTATATGTGAATCTGACCCACAATTTCTCCATCTTCAGACAAGCATTGGGCAGCAGCAGTCATCTGCATTGGTGGTCCTCAGCCAGTTGTATCAACTCCAGAGAGCACGGCACTCTCCCATGCCTCCACGGCTCAGTGCTCCCACAACACAAAGTGAAACTCATTTTATCACCTCGGGGATAAAGGCCAATCGAGCCCGTACTGAGACTAACAAGTAGAAATTAGAACTGCATTTAAATAATCAAATAATATCGAACATTTTATGAAAATAAACAGGGCCTTACATGTCACTGCTTGAACAATCACAGATTGAGAGCTCTACACTGCTCAGCACAAAAGGTCTTCATAAGACAGGTCCTGTGAACATCAATCTGATGGAATAAAATCTCCCTAACGACCATTCTCCAAGACAGTCCGTCTCTTCCTGTCACTCGGCGTAGCTCAGCGGCTATGAATCTCTGTGCCATGACACTCCGGTGGTAAGCGCAGTTACATTCATCAGTGCTTCAGGCAGTGTCAGCGCAGCACAAACAGCTACAGTCCTTGGTTGCTCCTACGACAAGTAGAAAGTGAATAAGTGCTCCGAGTGGACGGGTGGACAGATGAATGATCCCTGAACGGCAAAAATATCTGCCTTTCATAAATAACTCCTTTATTAGTCTCAGTGAGCCTCATCGACTAATAAAAATCTATTTTCAGGAGGGTTTTGCATTGAGATTATGGGACAATTCCTTTGCAATTAATATTCTGCATGTCAGCAGAATCAAGATTACCCAGAGAAAGTTTCATAACAGGATAAGATGATTAAGAAAACACATAGAAGGGTTCCAAACCGAATTGTTTTCTTCTGCCATCTGCTGGCCACCTATTCCATCTGGTTTGGCACTAATGATATTTGCGTGATCAACAAACCCTACCTACAAAGTTCCGGAATGTAGGTGTTCCTACAGCCTATAACCAAATCACCTGGAATGCGCCAATGTCATCATATCTCGGAGCCTTAACAGCGTTTGCTTGGATAGGCGACCGCAATGGATAAATCAGGTGTTGTAGTCTACTCGGGGGCGCTGCACATTTACTCAACTCTAAACAAGTGCGTGGCATCTCATGAAGCATGCAACCTGAAAGCGAACCGCTGGTCAGCCTGCCCATCAAGGTGTGAGCAGATATAATTTAATCAGCAATTTTACTTTTGTCATAGTCTCAGCCTAAGGTAACAACAACCGGTGGAACTATAGTTGAGTCTTGGTCCGTGGATTTAATTTAGTTGTACTCTCAGTCTAGTTGACGAAAGCAGTAACAAATGTTGGTGTGAGGGTTGCACATTTCTTTCCCTCTCAATATTATCTTGTTAGCCAAACCAGATAAAACTCAGTAAATCTTCTATAATGCATATATCAACAATTACCAGTCATGTTCTTCCTCAAGTCACCGCAGTCTTGACGAACGTTGCTAAATGAACTTAGTCTGCATCTTCATGAGATGAGTTAATTTGTCTCGTCATGGTCGGTCATACTTTGGTCTTTGGTGGGCAGTCAAAACATCTCGCGATCAAGAGGTGTTATCATCTCCCACACCTGGTATACAGGAGGTCGTGGGTTCGATTCTGGTACAGATGGCTGTAAATTTGGAGTTTGCATGTTCTCCCCATAGTAGTGTGCATTTTACTCCAGGTCCTCCAGCTTTTACCTCCACATTTAGAAACATGTGTTTAGATTATTTGGCTGCTATTAATTTCCATGTAATGAGCCCCTTTGTTGAGCTATCATTTGTGGCCAGATCGCTTCTGAAAAAGCTAGGGTCAGTGGGCCTAACCTGGTAGAATAAAAATAGTTTATAGTTTCTACCATCGGCATGCTCAATGATTTTCACGAAATCATCATCATCACCGCTGGCTAAAATGTAAAAAAACGCTTTATGGAAGAGTATTCTCACCACTAAATTTGTTTAAAAAAAAATGCGGACATCTACTCAACTCCAAACGCGTGCGCGAGCTATTTCACGGAGCACGTGGGGCCTGGACACCGACCACCATTGGGGCCTGCCAGGGAAAGGCACTTAAGGAGCTCACCTTGAGCAGCAGTCGCGTGCGCTGACTGCTGTTGGCCGTTACACCCAGGAGCCCCTCGGTATCGATGGTGAGCAGTTTGTTGTTGCGGTCGTATGCTGCCCACACGCCCACCGTGCACGACTCCTGTGTGGCCGACGTGTGGAAGACCTCGGCTTTGTGAAAGAACGTGTGGTTGAGCGTGTGCGACTTTCCATCGCCCGTGTTGCCTATGATCGACACCACCTTGAGCAGGTCTTCCGCGTGGCAACTGAGCTTCTCAATCAGCTCTTGCTCGGAGGAGATCTGCCGATGAAACAACAAAAACATGGATAGGGAGGGGTTAAGGTCGAGATGTTGCAGCCAAGGTGTACATTTTAAAAAATGTAACAAAGATCAGGAGGTGGCCAGTTGGCTCGGATCACTGAGCTGACACAGCTGCTAATCCCGGGTTTGATTCTGGGAAGACGTGTGATTAAACTGGGTTCTCAAAGGTAGCGAGTTTCTTGTCTCAGTCTGGTTACCCCAATGACTGCATAAACAACTGCTCATATTAAGTTTGGGGTTTCAATTAATTTGACTAAACTTCAGCTCTGGAGACTTAACAAAAATTGGTACGTAAAAATATGGAAAAAGAGGCCTCTTGAACTGACATTAAAAATATGTACCAGGGCCATTCTCTGACAGAGTGATATGCTGCTCGCTGACATATTGCAAAAGACCGTTTAGTCACTTCACGACATGACACCGCTAACACGATTGGAATGTAGCTGGGGAAAAATAATTGAACTCTAAAAACCCACATGCACACTGTCTGAGTTGTTGCATGGTGTCCAGTGACTTAAAAGTTGCGGGACACATTGAGATGGAGCCATGTGCAAAAGCACTAATCTTCTGGGCAACATATTGCCTGCAAAAGGTAGTGCAGAAAGTGGATTTCCGCCTTGTCTGCAGATGTTGAGCGTTAATTTGATGTATTTTTTGTGATTACTGTTGTTACATTGTTTTTATAGCTTTATTTTGGTGATTAGAAAACATATGGTTAATCTAAATTGTCTTATGGTTGTTGTTGTTGGCTTGCACCACATTGATTTTTGCACGCAGCGTTTTAATACGTTTTTTTTGTGTGGAATATTTGCTGGTTTATTCCAGGATGTTTCTGTTACGCATTGTCGCTTTAAGATGTTCTGTTTTCAAATTTTGTTTGTTGCGGTTGCACCCGACTTAAGAGCCGCATGGCTCACAGGGCTATACCTAATAAATGAAACTTGAAATTTGTGGGTTTTCTTTGGACATCCTGGCTTCAGCCCGTGTAAATCGAAAATACTCAAAATCCAGCCAAATACCAGTTTTTTATCACTTGTCAACCACAAATTAAAGTATTTATGCATGAGCTATCTGTCAATCCATCTGTTTTGGGGGGGGGCTTAACTCTTGTAAAGATGACTGAATACCTACCATGTAGGAAAAGCGGTGCTGCTATAAGGCACGGACCCTATTGTAAATTCACCAAATTGATCCAAGGATTGCCAAAACATTCAGAGCAAAAATGACAAGTAAAAATGTGAAAATGCTGCTCAAGCGTTACACATTCCACATGTATGCATGATTGTAATTTGTTCAGCATTCGATTCTCTATCTATAAAAGGAAAAGGTGGAGCCTTCAACTACTTGCTCACACCACTGATGGCAGCAGGGTATCCTAGAGTGTAAGCAACAGAGCCCCTCTAGAAGGTATTTGGCCTACTCTTTCACACTCGCCAGATCATCCTGGAAAAGGTGGGAGTACTCACACTTTACCTCACGACACGCAACCTGCCGATCGACTTACTGTAGTGAAAAACCCATTTATACCGCTGGATGGACAGAGGCAAGGGAATAACAAAATAAAAGCGTGCACCGTTATTCTTAACCGTCACGCTCGGAGATCGAACCGGTGACTTCTGGATGACAAGTCGAGTGTGTTAATGATTACACTACAGCAGCATCCTCTCGATAAATAAGTAGTGAAACATATTAAGGCAGATATTAGGTTTGAACACCATAGGCCACGATAGTCATGTGATCACCATGGACTTGCGGGGTGGGGTGAAAAGGGCTCGGAAGGAAGAGCTGTGACGGCAATAACAACCCCCACCATATGAACACATGGTCAGGGAGAGAGAGAGAACAAGAGACACGCAAGAGTGGGAGAAAGCCAGGGACAGCGAGAGACAGAGACACAGAGGAAGTGGGAGGCGGACGGTTGGATATGCAGGGAGACAAAAAGTGAGACAGAAACAGAGAGAGATCGTCACAGACAAAGCAAGACAGAGACACAGAGAGAAATAGACAGGGAGACAGATATAGGGGAAGATATAGGGAGATACAAATAGCCAGAGAGCAGGAGAAAGAGAGAGACACAGGCAGAGATGCAAAAACACAAAAGGATACGGACACATTTAGAAAATGAGATAGAGACAAAGATAGACAAATACACATAGGTAGATCAAGAAAAATGGAGAAATTAACATTCACGGTTAATAGGAGGCAAAGACAGAAGGAGACTAGGGGCAGAGTAACAGAAACAGGGACTGGCCAAGAATGCCGAAGCAGTACATTCCGTTCTATCAGGTCTACTGACGTAGAATAGGGCGTATGACACTTGGTGGGACATGTGTAAATTTGTGTATATGTGTGTAAATTAGTGTATATAGTATTCACGTTAGACGTACACATGTACCTACTGTATAACCATATAAATGCGTACAGTATAAAACACAAGTGTAAAGTGGGCTCGGGCAGGACACAGCTGGAAGAATGTTTCAAGTTTGGAAGAATGTTTCAAGTTTATTTTGTGTAACCAGGTGAGAACTCAAGAGACCAGGAAAGTATCACTTGCGAAAGTCACCTGGGGCTGTAGACTGCCAGAAGAGGTCTGATTGCTATTTATAGTCACCAAATTTTAGTAATTTTGTGGGTAATTTGCCAAATTTTGATGACGGCCAATGTCAATAATAATGAAATCGCAGCCAAAGAATGGAATGCATTCAAGAGAACACCTGCCAAGGAGATGCAGCAATGAAATTAGGTCATGCACAGAAGCTTGGTGGATTAGATCGTATGATCGTGAAAGATGGTGGCGGCTTGGAGAGGCCTTCTCATCCACCAGTGGATTGACCATGGCTGATTATGATGGTGAAATACCTGTTGTATGTATATGCGTACATGGATACAATGTTATAATTGTTTTATGCTGTTGGAGTAAGCACTATTGGCAAGTACCTATCAAGGCCAGCACGGCACGCAAGGGTGCAGTGTGGCCATCTCCAAACACCCTTCTTTTGCCGGATCCCCATTGCCGAAGTTGCTGACCCCACGCCGCCAGGTATTGATTTTATTCCCAGCTGTCCTGGGAGCAGCCGAGGCCAGGTTCACATACCACACGCTCAAACAGTGACGAAACAAACTAAACTCAAACATCCCTATTGCAGCCTTCGTAGCCAGCTGTTGTTCTTAGAACTACCATGGTGCAGAAACGAATGGTGTGGCCAGGAGCACGGCACCTTTATCTTGCACAACACTACTCACTGAAAGCTGAGTCGACCTAGGAGAGGCCCAAGAGAAAATCGTCAGCCGTGCGTAACTGGTTGCTAGCGCAGTCCGGGAACGACTGCGCCCACTTCTCGCTTCAATAAACATGTTCAGTGTAGAACCGTCAATCCACGAATCACATCGCACGCTCCAATGTAATGCAGGGGAGTGAGTGACAGCGGCTCTGTCAGCGTCACATGCCTAGACATGTCGCAGAATGTACCACAGTGCACAGCCTCGATACAAACAAAAGCTTTCTTTCACTTTGTAACAACAGTACCTTTCTCTTCGTGGCTACTTTGTTGTTGTTGAAGCTGTGGTTGTTGTTGTTATTGCTACTGCAGTCTCATGTAATATAAAATGTGGAAACGGAGCCTGCGCTGGTAGCTTGGTGTCCAGCGCTAAAATAAACATAGCCCGATGTACAGTGCATTCACAAATGTACCACACAGGGACAAGCAAACACTGTCTTTGGCAATAACCTGAGGTGTGTGAGCAGACGTCACAATCGGCACGTGAAAATACACATCCTTTAAAAGGATCCTAAAGGTTATAAGAATGTAAACTAAACTATATAGTTTTCTTATTTTACCAGGTAAGGCTGAGCTATGTAGCTCGTTTTGAGCAGCGACCTCGCGACAAATGATAGCTCAACAAAGTGCCTTATCACGTGGAAATGTACAGCAGCCATCCACTCTGAAGACACGTTGATTCTAATTGTGGAGGGGAAAACCGGAGGGCCCAAAAAAATCCACGTGAAACTAGAGAGGGAGAGACATGCACACTCCAAATATACAGCAGGCGTCATGGTCGGAATTGAACACACGACCTCCTTGTATATCAGGCGAGGTCGTTAACATTTCGGGTCTTACGGCCTTAGGTCAACTGTCCAAACAGAAGAAACACACACCACGCCCGAGACGGGGAAGACAATGGTACTTGGGCAACATACTTGTTTGCTGCAGTGTGATGTCATGCAGTGTTGTCTTACAGAGCTTGCCATTTGGCCACATTTGTGACATGGCCCGGAAAATCGCTACGAACTCCGCAACCCGAATTCAATTCCCGGCCACAGCTAACGTCAGTAGCGAGTGATATCTGTACCAGTCTTGGCTCCTTCCACTTTCACTAACCTTGCACTGAGCAGCATAGTGAAGTATGGTCAAGCGATGCATTGACAAATAACTGTGCGTTATTAAATATTAACGTATTCTTTGGGCCTTTCGGTAAAGTCACGTATATAGCTATGTTGAAAAAAATAACAAAAAACTACGACGTTTCGATCACAACACAAGCGGCCGTCTTTTAACCTATCTACGTGACTTTACCAAAAGACCCAAAGAATATGAATTCCTGCAGTCACGAAAGCTTTAAGTTAAATATGAACGCTCATCCATTGCAAACGACAGATTTTACACCGGTCAGACATTATACAAACTTTTCAAAAACCTATCTATTATATACGACTGAGAAAACTAAAAATCTATTCCTTTTTTTACAATTTGAACACATGACTCAACTCCAGTTCTTAATGACCCAGAGAGGCTGATATATTATTTAGAGCTACGACAAACATCTACAGATTACAAAACTCTTGCCAGGTCAATTGAATATGCTCTCAAGGCAGTGTAGAGTTAAAAGTCACGCGGCTCTAAAGGCACAAGGGGATGGGGAGTTCGTCTCCAATGGCAGCAGCCCTTAGCCAGTCGTGGGAACTCCACATTCCCATGGTGGGTTACAGTTCTTTTCGGAGGACCACTATCGTTCACTTTCATTTAAAACGAGCACAGAAACACGGTGGCTAAGTCAACAACCACGCAGGATTTGAACCCATAACCTTTCCAATTGTGAATCAAGCACACCGAGCGTTGAGCAATTCATACTGTCTGGTAGGAAAGTACAATGTTATGTACACAGTGGACCTACTGCGTAGTTTTTGTGTGGGTTATTTCTCTGTGATAATCATCCGTTGGCCAAGTTACTGCCTTGTAAACGTCTGCAGTGAGAGATTAATCTCCCGTGTCTCAGTGCAGGACTCTCTCCAGTCGGACGTATGTTGGTATAGTACTGCCAAACAAAGCTTCATTATTATTTAGTATGTTAAACCCATGCTGCTGGTTACATAACGGAGTGCACAGCTCCAGCAAGCCTTTTGTTTTGTCCAAGACCCCCCCAAAAAAAACCCAAATAATAAAATAAAACCACACATCCTGGTAGCCGCCCATAACTCCCATTACAGGGTAAAGTGGGTGAAATATGGTTACAGTAGAGCCTATATAGGATGAAATTATTTCGTAACATTGATAAGCTTTAAATTACAATCATGCATAAATTATGTCAAGAACTAATTTATGTATCTGCCCTTAGTTGTCTAACAGAATACGCTAGAGTATGTACGGTGCTGTTTATATGGTTATATGTTGTCCCCCCATACTTATGTTTTAATCAGCATTGGCCCGTCGTTATTTGGAAATATGATGGCATCTCTAAAGACACCATGGTACATATACTATCTACAAATACAGATACCTCCAGACAAATAAAGAAGTGTCTGCAGATAAAGAAACGTCTAGACACATGGATAAGGGGCCCCGTTTCGACTAGAGGTGCAGAAGTCTTCTACAGAAAACCAGTTAAAGTGTTTAACCTGAGATTAATTGGGGGTACTCTATTTCCAGTTTGTCGTACTAAGCAACTGTAGTCTGTCGAAATTGTAACCTATCTAAATATGATCATCAAACCAAATGTTTCTCAGTGGACACTCACCTGATTTAAAGGATATCAAATCCAATACTGTAGGGTATCCAATTGACCCACCTGGATAAACATGCGTCTCAATTGACTCTCCCCTGGTTCAAATGACATCAGCTAAACGAGGTATCCTCTCGGGCACTCGTCTAGTTTAAACAAAGGAGACGCCAACTGCATGGTCAGGGTTCTCGCCTGATTAACAGATAAGTCACCTCAAACGGTTCCCACTTGGTTTAAATAAAGTACAGTACTGCACCTGCAGTGAAAAGCATCACAGTGTATAGCTCAATGCACCCTGATCTGGCTAACAAGCATTAAACCACACCCTGGGGTTACATAAAGGACAGCTACCCAAATCCATATCTCAATCGACTTCCACCTGGGTAAAATAACGGACATTCACTCAAACCCATGTCTCAGCGGCCTCCCACCTGTATATAGAATCACCTGGTTAATTAATCTTAATAAACACTCACCTTGTGAAAGATGAATCAAAACAATGGTCTTTAGCCTTGGTTAAATAAAGGACACCTCAAATTTGTATCTTAATTGGCTGAGTAAAAAAACCTGTCACGGCACTCACATAGGTTAAAGCACATTCAATAAAATACAGTGCATGTATCTTAATGGTTTCTCAGCTGGGTTATATGAAGGACAAATTCAAACACCATAAGTACTGTACATCAAATGATCTCGTTAAGGATGCACCTTCATGGACTGATATGTAATTAAATAAACCAAATCAAATACACTTTGAATAATGGTAATAAATGTCAATAGCCTCCCCTAGATAACATTACTGTACATGAAACTCAATTGACTCTCACCTGAATGAGACAAAGAAAGCCACCTGAAAGGTCCATACCAATGGGCCCTTCACCGGGACCACGCAAAGAGAGCCATCTTAAATCTACATCGCAATGGGCCCTCACCTAACCTAAATGAAGCACAAAAACGGACACATTCATCCCAAAGGACTCGACCTGGTTAAGGATGCCCAATCTCACTGGCATTGGCACCCTTGGCCAACCGAACACCACGATTTAAAAGCACAGAACCCAATACTTCAACCCAAGTCCACCCAACTCACCTGCAGCCTCTCCGTCTCGTCCACCAGCAAGAAGCTCTTCGCATCCACCGCATTCATCCTGCTCTTCCTGGCCATATCTCCCTCCTGCTCCATGGGCCCGTCCAGCCGCCCACGGCCAGCCAACACCACGAGACTGTGCTTTTTTCGTCCGTTGTGCGCCTTGTCGGCACAAGCACGGCAAACGTTGACACCGCACGGCTCGCAGCGTATGGTGGCCCTCTGTCGCGGCCGGCACGATTCGGCCTCGCAAGGCGCAGGGCCTTGCCACCCTCCAGGTCCTGCAGTCGCCACAGCTCCAGCAGTTCCACCACCAGCAGCAGCAGCAGCAACAGCAGCAGATGGGGTGGCCTCAGCAGGGTGGCCTGGCTGTAGTGGAGGTACGAGGCGCCGCCGGTCGTGGTTGGCTACCTTGGGCTGGTTGTGCAGCAAGGTGGAACAGTCCCCACACTGCAAGGAGCCACACTCGTCACATTCGATCTCGGCCAGGGCGGCCCCCCCACAGGCGTAACGTTCGTGACAAGGGGGGCCCCACGGTGATGTCTGTGGGGTGGTCGCTGCTGCAGTCACGGGGATTCCTCCTTGATGATGCTGCTGCTGGGTCCTGCTGGGACGGCCACCAGCAGCACCTGGAGATGGTGATGATGTCGATGTGCCCGAGGGTTGGAGGATCTGCTTAAGTTGCTGCTGCTGCTGTTGATGATGGCCGCTGGAGCCACGGCCAGTGGAGGTGATGCTGCCCGAGATTGATGGAGCTATTGCTGATGTTGAGATGGTGGTGGACGTCGCTGGCTTGGTCGGTGAGGCCGAGGAGCCATTTGCGTTTTTGTTCACTCCGGAGCTCATTCCGATCCACAAAAACAAAACACCAATAACAGTAGTGGTAGAAATAATAATAGCAACACTAGTATACGTTTATAACTCTAACACTATATATCAATTATACTTGTCACGACAGCGCTGTTAAAGCCACAATAACAACCCATGCCTATAAACGTCGTTATTCAGTTTAACACTGCCTACAAGCAAACACATCGTCATAATAATAATGTTCGAGCTCTTGCTTGCTGCTGACGGCAAGGACGATGGTGACAGCGGCGAAAGTGTTGGTGGTGGCTGCTTCACAGCCCCTACTGATGATGATGAGGGTCGCGTGAAGCAGGCCCGGTCTGGCCGCCATCAGCTGGGCGGCACGGGAAGTGACGACACAGGGAGGGAGCGGGGGGGGGCGACAGAGAAGCCCCCACCACGACTTCAACAACAACAACCGAATGGCGTGACGTAACAAGGTTTTAGCAGGGGGGGGGGGGGGAATAATCGATTAATCGACTTAGAAATGTTTAGATTTTCTAAATCGAAAGCCTACGTGTTAAAATGTAAGATATACTGTGAAAATAAATAATATATTGCCAAGGGATGAAGTGACTGTTAACCCACAACAACACAATGGTGATTCCATGTACAATGTTTAAACAGGTGGGGCATAAGGAGCCAACCATAAATGACGTCACGCACCTGGGGGGGGGGGGGTCAGACATTTGTGACGATTTGTGACGAGGGGGGTGAGAAATGTGACGTCACATCAAAATGCGCAACTTTAAATAAATATAAACACGTTCTACTAAATTAAACAGACTTTTTAATAAATGTTTTCTCCTACATCAGAGTGCAGCGCCACATGAAATACGCACTACAATGACAATAGTTTAAAGCGATTTGAAGCATGTTTTATATATTTTTTGGGGGGGGGGACAGAGCTTTGTGACGTCATATTTGAGGAGGGTCAGACTTTTTGTGACGCCGTGTGACGAGGGGGGGGGTCTAAAATCGTCCAAAATCGCGTGACGTCATTTATGGACGACCCCTAATCGATTTTCGACTTGGATTTTGAAATGTTTTTTTTATCCATAGATTAAGGGAGGCAATGATTGCGAACCCACAGCAATACATTAACAATACAATGCGGCTATCATTGCGTTCAATTCTTTACCAGCTAACACAGTCGACTCATCGACTCGAAAATTATACGATGTACTGTACAGTAATGTAATAAAAATCGATTACCAAAGGCAGTGACTGCGATCTCACACGGATACATTAACGCACACATCACGTCATATCTTTTGAAAGATGGAACGATTAAGTCAAGCGAACACTGTCCAAAATATAATCGATGAAGAATGTACCCTTTGTTGTTGTCACCTCCCGTCCAGCGGCACATATGGACACTGACGTGTTACTTCCACCCACCTCCCTCCAACAGTATCGCGTTTTCGTTTTATCCGATTAGTCCAATACAACTGCAATCCTTTGTAACCTATGAAGTAATCATATAACCCAGCTCATACCGTGTTTCCTTTACGACTGAACAGTTTTTTGTGTGCTGTACTTTGTATGGCGCTGGGCTATCGCTGCAATGCTAAGCACTGTCACCTGCCAATTTGTTTAACAGGCCCCCTCCCTGCTGATGGCAGTCAAATGAAGCAGAAACCGGTCAAGGGTTGACCAAGGTCGGACAGTGCCTATACAAAAGATGGGACGAGTCTCGTGACATTCTTCATGAAATCTCACTGCGCGTCGTGTTGGCGAAAGCAGCAATCACGCCAAAGTGTCTCTTTGAGAGACACTTTGGCGTGATTGTACAGTCTTTTAGATTTGTCATGTGACAAAAGTTGTGTTGCCACTGATTTCTAATGTCGTCGTTATTTGTGTGAGCCAGGCCACTCGTAATGAAGACTAACCCTCGTCTCTGAAAGCGCTCTCACCTTGGCGATACAAAATACAGTCGAATAACGTGATGAATAACATTCCACCAGCTATAGTACGGATGGAAACCGTAAACTTACGGTGTACTCTGTGTTCATGATGCTCATATCACCACTGCATGTATACTCGCCTATTTTTAACCCTTTATATTCTATTCTTGCGTATGATGGCAATATGTTCAGGAGCTAAATGCCATGTCGTGTGCTCTGCTATCCACAACGTGAAGGGCTTCTTCAGGAGAGAGTTCGCGTCGTTTCGAGCGTCCTCCTCTGCTGAAGGAACCCAAGGGGGTGTATTCAAGGTGGTCCACATGTCTTGTGGCCCCAATTTCTCTAAAACTTACTTTTTAAAAGTAATGATTCTTTAAAACAGAAATGCAAATAAAAATGAAACAAAAGTTACGGGTCACAAAACATCTGGACCACCCTTGTACAGTGGTTTAATATCTGCTCCGTAGTTTGGGTTGTATGGAAATAAGCACCCGACTGTGACTTGTCTTTAATGCATCTCTCTGTGTCTCTGTGCATCTAATTGTGTCTCCGTGAGTTTCTATGTAGGTCTGTGTGTCTCTCTGGGTTTACTATATGGTCCATAATTTGTGGTGCATGGCCACAATCGCACGACTGTGGCTTGTCTTTAATTTTCCATGATCAAGGAAATGTGTGCATCGGCCTGTTGATGTTCTGCTGCGGTTGATGGTTACATCATCAAAGTCTGCGAGGATAAAATAAATGTCAAAGCCAGGATAAAGTACGATGATGATTAGGATAAAGTACGATGATGTTTAGGTTTCGATTGACGTGTTGATTCTGGATGTCTGCGCCTTTTCATTCTCTCCACACAGCAGCAGCAGCGTTCTCCCGGATCTGGGGGAAATGTTAGGATGGTGACAACAGCAGAGGCACGTACCCTAGCCATCAAACAAAGACGGTCACTACATGGCTAGCCATCAAACAAAGACGGTCACTACATGGCTAGCCATAAAACAAAGACGGTAACTACATGGCTAGCCATCAAACAAAGACGGTCACTACATGGCTAGCCATCAAACAAAGACGGTCACTACATGGCTATCCATCAAACAAAGACGGTCACTGCATGGCTAGCCATCAAACAAAGACGGTAACTACATGGCTAGCCATCAAACAAAGACGGTCACTACATGGCTAGCCATCAAATACGGTCTCTACATGGCTAGCCATCAAACAAAGACGGTCACTACATGGCTAGCCATCAAACAAAGACGGTCACTACGTGGCTAGCCATCAAACAAAGACGGTCACTACATGGCTAGCCATCAAACAAAGACGGTCACTACATGGCTAGCCATCAAACAAAGACGGTCACTACATGGCTAGCCATCAAACAAAGACGGTAACTACATGGCTAGCCATCAAACAAAGACGGTCACTACATGGCTAGCCATCAAATACGGTCTCTACATGGCTAGCCATCAAACAAAGACGGTCACTACATGGCTAGCCATCAAACAAAGACGGTCACTACGTGGCTAGCCATCAAACAAAGACGGTCACTACATGGCTAGCCATTAAACAAAGACGGTCACTACATGGCTAGCCATCAAACAAAGACGGTCACTACATGGCTAGCCATCAAACAAAGACGGTCACTACATGGCTAGCCATCAAACAAAGACGGTCACTACATGGCTAGCCATCAAACGAAGACGGTCACTACATGGCTAGCCATCAAACAAAGACGGTCACTACATGGCTAGCCATCAAACAAAGACGGTCACTACATGGCTAGCCATCAAACAAAGACGGTCACTACATGGCTAGCCATCAAATACGGTCACTACATCGCTAGCCATCAAACAAAGACGGTCACTACGTGGCTAGCCATCAAACAAAGACGGTCACTACGTGGCTAGCCATCAAACAAAGACGGTCACTACATCGCTAGCCATCAAACAAAGACGGTCACTACGTGGCTAGCCATCAAACAAAGACGGTCACTACGTGGCTAGCCATCAAACAAAGACGGTCACTACATGGCTAGCCATCAAACAAAGGCGGTCACTACGTGGCTAGCCATCAAACAAAGACGGTCACTACATGGCTAGCCATCAAACAAAGACGGTCACTACATGGCTAGCCATCAAACAAAGGCGGTCACTACGTGGCTAGCCATCAAACAAAGACGGTCACTACGTGGCTAGCCATCAAACAAAGACGGTCACTACATGGCTAGCCATCAAACAAAGACGGTCACTACGTGGCTAGCCATCAAACAAAGACGGTCACTACATGGCTAGCCATCAAACAAAGGCGGTCACTACGTGGCTAGCCATCAAACAAAGACGGTCACTACATGGCTAGCCATCAAACAAAGACGGTCACTACATGGCTAACTATCAAACAAAGACGGTCACTACATGGCTAGCCATCAAACAAAGACGGTCACTACATGGCTAGCCATCAAACAAAGACGGTCACTACGTGGCTAGCCATCAAACAAAGACGGTCACTACATGGCTAGCCATCAAACAAAGACGGTCACTACGTGGCTAGCCATCAAACAAAGATTTCAGATGTGCTTCTGCGGCCGTCTGGAACGCTCATCCGATTTTAGGAAGTCACTGGAGCCATGCACTTTTAAATCATCCAGAATGAAAATTCATTTGAGAGCTGATTTTAATGTTTAGTCTGTTGCCTCTGCCCCACACCTTCGATCAGCCAGGTCGGCTACGTACGGTGCGAAAGAAGTTGAACATACACACATTCAGAAGGGATGGGATCTGGACTCGAGTTGGCGGCCAAGGACACTTTCAAGTGAAACGAGCCGGGTCTGTCTAGGTCTCCCATGGTTAAACAAAATAAAGGTTAACTTTAAAAACTAGACAAGGAACAGTGCAATGGAAGCCACAGACGTATACGATGAGATAATGTACTCCGTGTTGATGATGGGGCATCACTATTGCACGTCTGTTGTGAGCCATTCCTACTAATAGACTCGTTCGGATATGCATTAATATGCAAAATATAGACTGTCAGGGTCACCCACGCCTTTGCTATAATTTGTAGACGTCAGTCCACTGCTGGATGAGTGCCTCCCCAACCCGTGCGAGTTGTGGGGTGTTTTTGGACTCAGTATACTTCACCATCCCGGTTAGCACGGTGGATTTTCCTGTGTTTGCCTCAACGTTTTGCTATCGTATAGCCATATTAAATCATAATTAGACAATGATATAGTACCGTATGTCTGGCCAAAGTTTTCGTTTATTATCTATGTCCTAAACCAATGCCACAAGCAAGGTATATGGGTAAAGTGATAATACATGATGTGCCTCTACATGAATGAATACATGAATACACACATATCTTAGTCCATCAGCTTATTGGCTTTCCAGATCAATGTTATAATACAACATTTGTTTATGCAAGTGTATCGAGCAACTTATGCACCTGTTTGGACTTTCTGGGTCAGCAGTAAGGATG